CTGATAATTGAGAATTCACCCTGGGACTGTTATTTATTATCAACCTACGACTGATATTATTTTTTCACTGTTACTTGTGATTATTTGTGCTGATTGATATTTAGTATCAGCTTACCCCTGATTATATTAATTGCCTCTCACAGACTACACTGTTTGATATTTTTTCACGGTTAACTTGTTGTTAGCACACTTTAGTTTATTCAGTTTAGTTTTGTATCTGAACTTTTTATCTATTGATATCACTTAGTTTTTTACACCCATTATTCCACCTTTATTAGATTATGCTTACTCATTTTCTATGTTAGACCATCACTATATATACTTTTGTTTGTATTTCACCTTTAGCGCTGTGTTCATTTTTTATATTTTCTTTAAAGGGACCTTTCCCTTTCTTTCATAGCAGCTCTGGGGTTAATTGTTTATAGTTGATTCCAAAAGCGTAGAATTCTTTTTATAAAAGCTTACATGAGTATCGGCCGACGGCGGTACAGGTCGTCTGGAAGTGGAGACGGCCGTGCCCCCGCATCACCGAAGGAAACCGGGGCCCCCACACTTCAAATCCTCACCTGAGGTGCGCTGTGCGGGCTTCCGGTGTCCCCAGGGGATCTCCACTGCATAATAGGTTTTTTTAAAGATGGCCACCGCGAGCTGATCCCGGGCAGCAGATGGAATAGCGGATCCCGGGATTAAAGGTGAAGGGTTAGGAGGTCACGCAGCCACAACATACAAGTGATTGGCGGCTATAGAGCCGCCGATCATTTGTATGTCAATCAGCTGGTAACGGCTCCTCAGAACGGACAGGTTTTTTCTGCCAGTGCGCGCGAGCAGAAAAAAAAGCCATCTAATTACGGCAACCCACCCATGTGAGTTTGCCGTCCGTCCATTTTTTCACAACGGGCTTACGGCAAGCAGTTAAGGTCCCCCGCTCCCCATGTCAACGCACATACAATGCAAGCATGTGTTGTATGTGCCTACGTGCAAAAACAAAAGTTGTGCCACACATGTTGCATATCGTCGCGAGCGTCGGAGTGAGAGCAATAATTCATGGCCCATCAATCACTAAACTGATGAGCCATAAAGCATTTGAAGCGTTGACTATGGGAAATGTTGATTATTGTAGTTTTTTGCGGTTTCACAGATTCACGCAATTTTAGGGCTTGACATGTTTGGTATCTATTTGCCCGGCGTGACCCCAACTTTTATATTTTACCAAAAAATTAGCCATTATATTATGTTTCTGTCCCCTAAATTTCATTTAATTGTATTTTATCCTAAAAATACTTGATTGACAAACATTTGCGCAAATACCATGCTACATAATAACTTGCAACTAGTATGTTTCATTCTATAGAGCCTCCGCTTTCAGAAAATATATAATTGTTTGGGGGGTCTGAAGCTTTTTTTCTAGCCGAAAATTCAGATTTTATCATGTGTGTGCAAATGTAAGAAATTGCTCCGGGCAGCAAGTGGTTAATGAGCGCGTGATTTGTGTGTTTTAATGAGTGTATAAATGTTTGGCAGTGGCAATGATGCTGAAGATTTTTTAAACCCGAGCGCCCAAGCTGCAACACAATACTAGCGTAGTAGCAAGCGAGAGCCAAGAGGTAGCGGGGGAAGGGCAGTATATACAGGGAGGGCAGACCTACTGCCCCTGTGGCTGCACGAGGGCTCGAGGCTGGGGGGACCCACTGATATCTGGTCCCGGGCCCCCCACTGAAAAAATGGTGCCCGCATCTGCCCCTGCTGAGAACTTTTTGTTTTTTAAAGTTTATTGGCGCTGGTAAGGAAATGTATCATGTGGCAGATTGGTAGGGTTGCCACCTTTTCTTCAAGCGAAACCCGAACACTCAAGCGACGCGCAGACATTTTTATGGGGAGAATGAGTCGTGGCTTATTCATTTGTAAATAGCGCCACCGATTCATATGTAAATATCACAGTTGAGACTATTTTCAGTGGGGGGCCAGTAGCCCCTATCTTAATTTTGGTTGCCCCTGTCTGCCTGACATCTTGTGTCCAGGTTTCTGCTGCCATGAAACCCGAACACAGCATTCAAAACTAGGACTGTCCGGGTGAATCCTGGACAGGTGGCAACCCTACAGATTGGGTTCATGTAAATATCTGATTGGTTGTTGGGGGCGACTGTTTACTTTTCTTATATTTTTTTTTTAGATTTTACAGCCTGTGTAATTTTAGGTTGTGTTATGTTTTATGTGTATCTGCTGTATACTAGTCAGATGATATGGTTTGCTGTGGTTTGTAATAGACGTGTGCGGGGCAAACAAAATTGGTTCAGACGAAACAAATGAAAATGGAAAAACATTTTTATTTGTTTCTTCAAAGGAAACTAATTTTAATGCTGTTTTGGATTCAGAGGCAATGAGCCTCCGCATCTAAAACCGCACAAAGAAATTGCAGATCGAGCGGCGGCCAAATCGGCCGCTAGCGTGTTCTGTGCATGCCGCCATTTTGGAGTATATCTACCAAGATGGCGGAACATGTGGGCGCTGCCATCTTGGTGTATACCGGAGTCCAGCGCGTCACTAAGCCCAAGTCCATTTCATATACTATTCTGCATTGCTGTATAAATGTATTGCTGGGATTTGTAGTCCCCCTACCAGCGGTGCCATTCTGCATTAGAGTTCAAGCTCACTATGTACAGAGAATGATGTGACTGTGGGGGAACATTAGAGTGTAAGCTCCTCTGTACAGAGACTGATGTGACTGGCTCAGGGTTCTCTGTACAGCACTGCGATATATGTCAGAGCTATATACATGTATAATAATAGTGTGTGACTGTGGGAGGACATAGAGTGTCAGCTCCTCTGCACAGAGACTGATGTGACCGGCTCAGTGTGGTGGCAGTGGGGGGGCGGCGGTGCGAAGGGGGCCCAGACCTAAAGCTGTGTAAGGGGCCCCAAAATGTCTGATGGCTGCCCTGTTGGCAATCAAAACACTGGTTGTGCTGTAATAGTACCTGCTGACACTGTATTGGCATTGCTGGCAATTAGGATATAAAAGTTGTGGTTGTAACAGTAACAGTACTAAATTCTCCCTCTCCTCTTAAATCCGAACAGTATGTGAGAGAAAAGCTGCAAACCACAGCCATGGTTCATGCTTAATGATTGCTCTGGTTGGTCACAGTAAATCACATGATGCAGAGCCTATTTTTTGGCTCTGTACTTTTGTTTTGTGAACCATGCTGTCCAATGGAGCCTGATGAAGGGGTACTGCTGAGACCCCGAAAGCGCTTGTATTGAATGTCGGTTTGTCAATAAAGGACTTTTTGCTTCAAAACCTTTGGTGTGCTGGTGACAATCCTTACTAGATTTACAATAGACAGTGCATTCACAGTTACCTGCTTGTGTGTGCACCAAGGGGTGTAGCAGAGTACATTTTGGTCTACGTTTATGAAGAAATACTATTGGATATGTATGAATAATATGACATTTTTAATTTTTGGTCTTTTTTTTTTCCCTTCATGTATTTAAAACAGTGGATATTAAATAACACAAAAGAAAGCTCTATCTGTCTCAAAAAAATATACAAAAGGCATTTTGGTACACTAATGCGCAGTTGAGTAATTGTCAGTCGAACTATCAGAGAACTAAAACCTGAAAAATGCCTGGAAAGGAAGAAGTTTAATATGGTGGTATTGAGGTGGTTAAAATAACCCAAAAGCTAAACACAGCTGTAAACAGATTTACCAATTTTTATTCAAGAAAAACATTGTCAGCTCACACTGTGACTGCAGTCAAAGAGTATACAATGGTCACTTAGCCTGCTATATAAAATAATGCGCAAACAACATATTATAGTAACAAAACACTTCAGAACACTGATACATTTTGAAAATGTTAATTTAAGTCAAATATCTGTTTTAGGTTTCAATTAGCATTAAATGTTATAGTGAACCTCACCTCAAAATGTGAAGATTTGTTATCTTATTAAAACATCTAAAATGTTAAAGTGACATTAAACCCTCAGATTGTTTAACATAAACCAATGCTGTAATGTGTGCTTTACTGTAATCCATGGTTGTTTCCCTTCTCTTTGCTGCTCTTCCTTTTATATCATCATGTCTTCTCATGCTGGGGGAGAACTTCCCTTTGCAGCTGAGTGCCTCTTCCTGTAGTGCTGGCTCAGGTTGCAAACCTACACACAGACACCATATATCCATTCCAGAGACAAGGCAGTCTGCTGCAAAACAGAAGTTCTGCCCAGCATGAGAACAGATACAGATTTAAAAGGAAGATCAGCAAAGAGAAGGGAAACAACCATGGATTACAGTAAGGCACACATTACACTATTGGTTTATGTTCAAAAATCTGAGGTTTAGATTTCCCCCAGGAAATGCCAACCAGAAGTACAGTTTCGCAAGACAAAAGTCTTGTGATGGTTGTAAGGTGTATGGGCACCTTAATGGTGTACAAATACATTGAGGGGAATTTATCAAAACTGGTGCTGACACAATCCGGAGCAGCTGTGCATGGCAACCCATCAGCCTCTTTCTTTCATTTTAAAATCTTAAATTAACAAACTGAGAAGAGAAGCTGATTGGTTACCATGTACAACTGCTCCAGATTTTGTCTGCTCCAGTTTTGATAACTTACCGTAATTTTGTCTATTGGAAATTAAGATAGTACATCACCCAGTCCAGGTATATGTCATCGGATGTAGTAAACTTCACACTAGAGACGGGGCAGCCACACATATTCCCTCCACAGTGTGTATCTGTTCTGGCAGAAGTAAAGTAGACATCCAAATAAAAGAAGGCACTGTTATTAGCACTAGCAGTGTAATATGTTTCTTGATTATATGGCAATTTTCTTAGATGAAAAGCATCTTCTTAAGGTATAAACTGCTACCCCAAACATTTTGTGTAAGTGAGCGTCTGTTATTCAATGTATGGAGACTCTACCGCTCATATACACTTTTATAGGCGTGTCTGTAACAAAGAGACATGGCTGTTCAAATGACATCCCCTGCCCATATCACTCAGTATTAGTCCATGACTGCTCTTCTTTGCGGCTCTCCCTGCTCATTGCTGCCAGTGATATAATCAAACAGCACAAAGCCAAATGCTGGTTCTGAGATAGTCTGCAATGAGAAAGAAGAGTTTTATTGCAATATGTTCATACTTTACTGTTACTATTGCGATTCATAATTTTTAATAAATCTCCAGATCTTTGGACGTGCTGTGTGGTCCTGTCTCTTGAAGAGTTGAAGAGTATTATTGCAATACTGCTGAGAGTAGACAAGCTTATAGTGGAAATCCAAGTTATGTTGGGGCTACTGGCCCCCCACCTGAAAATAGTCTCAACTGTGATATTTACATATGAATGGGCGGCACTATTTACATATGAATAAACCGCGACTCATTCTCCCAAGAAAAAATGTCTGTGCCTCTCTAGAGTGTTCGGGTTTCGCTTGAAGAAAAGGTGGCAACCCTACCAAAGCCAGTTTCAGCATTTCAACTCATATTCAGAACAGGTACTACAAAATCCACTTATTGTAGAGTGTAGGGAAATATTCATCTTTTTGAAAAAGACAATGGCTTTGATCGTATGCACCTAGAAGTCAACCAGATCCTTCAGACCCCCTATTTCTACAGTTAGAGCTAGGACCTAGGAGTAAATACGCTTAAGGTGCATGTTTCAGCCCTCTTGGCTCTGTCAGGAACAGGATTGGGCTTCTTACAACCTATGCAATAAATTTATTGAAGTGTGTATAATGATTCTTACGCTTATGGGTCCTGGCAGGGCTTTCCAGTGCTATGTTGTATGCGCTAGAATCTTGACCCATCTAGAACAGCGGTGCCCATTAGGTCGATCGTAATCTACCAGTCGATCGCGCAGCGATCACTGGTAGATCGTGATGTCCTCTCCTCCCGCCGTGGGGCTTTTCCTCTGGATCCCCGCTATCTGTATGCAGCGGGGATCCAGGAGAAGTGATGGAACCGCTGCAGCCGGCGGGGCGGGGGGAGGTCGGAGGAGGGAGCCGCTATCACAGAACTAAGGCCGAGCGGTGAGGAGAGAGAGAGACGCTCGGCCAGGATCTGACAGCCGGCGCCTCTCTCTCTCCTCACCGCTCGGCTTTAGTTCTGTGACAGCGGCTCCCTCCTCAGCTGCCCCCGCGGCTGAAGTGCTTCTTTCACGTCTCCTCGGATCCCCCGCTGCCTCTGCCCGGGAGAGCAGCGAGGATCCAGAGAAGAAGGTGAGCTCCCCTGTGTGCGTGGCCGAGTGGCGGACGATCAGTACATATCAGTGATATGTACCAATCCTCTGTGCAGAACAACCACTGGAGCGATCAGCTGATCACTGCAGTGTTTGTAAATAACTGGGGACACATAGTACTATGGGGGTCTATTCACGAAGCAGCCGAAGGATCTAGCCGTAGCTTCGGCCGATCCTTCGGCTAGCTTCGGCCCCAGGACCCCTTCGGTTCAGTAGAAGCGAAGGGCTGCTGTACGGGCTATTCACCGAGCGACTTAGTCGAGCCGAACGCATATGCCTCAGCTCGGCTGAGCCGCGCTGAAAGCCGAAGCTGGCTGAGCGGCTGGCCATTGGCCAATGACCTTACGGCTGGCTCCGGTCACTTGCAGAGAGATCAGCGTCCCTGGTTACCAGCTAACCAGGGACACTGATCTCCACACAGCAAACTCTCCCGGGCGCTCTGGGAGTCTCCCGGCCGCCAAGGAGAGATACACTGCTTATTCTTTTTTTTTTTTTTTATTCTGACACGGAGCATTGACATTGCACCCGCCCTCTGCTGATGGACCTGATGGAGAACTGCTAGTTTACTATTGGCTATTGCAAATTGAAATAGCCAATAGGAATCTAGCAATGCAATCCTATGGGCAAAATTTTTTATTTTTTTTTCTATTCTAACACGACTCCGTGTCAGAATAAAGAAAAAAAACAGAAAAATCAGTGTTTCTCTCCTGGGCGGCCGGGAGCGCCGGCCAATAGAAAACTATTGGGCGAAGCTAGCTGTCATTGCTAGCTCCGCACAATCGTTTTCTATTTTTTTTTAAACTTTTTAAACTATTTTTCAATTCCGCTCAGCGGAATTCGGCTATTCACTCACTGCTGTTCGGCATCTATGAGAATAGACCGAACAGCAGCGAGTAGCCTGCCGGAGGTTCGGCTTAGCCGATCCAGATGTTGGATCGGCTGAGTCGAACTCCTCCTGCACTTCGGGTCGGCCGAACATGCTGAGCATGTTCTGCTGACCCAAAGCCACGTGAAGCCACCCGATGTAGTCTGATTTCAGCCGATATATGGCTGAAATCAGCCGTACCAGCCTGAAGTGAATACCCGAACAGCGTTTGGCTCACTTCACTTCAGGTCGGTCTTTCACTCGGCTGCCTACGGCAGCTTAGTGAATAGACCCCTATGTGTCCTCAGTTACGAATGAACAGGATGTGATTTACATCACTTCCTGTTCATTCATGAGTTTCTCAGTGGGGAGAAGCACTCTGTCCATTCAGAAACTGGATGATAGTAAAATATTTTCTGAATGAATGGGAAACCGCTGTGCTTTCCATTCATTTAGAACAGACCCTGCAGAAAAAGAGATTGATGACTTTGTGTCCTCAATTTTTTTTTCTATTTTAAAAAGGGAAATATCAGGGGGCTGTTTAGAATTAAAATGTAAATTAAAAAAATTAAAATTAAATAAGAAACAATAAAAATAAAAAATATTAAAAAATAAAAAAAATCCTGGAGGCAGGGCGCTTGGTGACATCACACTCCTGTTGGGGGGGCACAGGTTTTTTTTTGCCTCGGGCGTAAAAGGAGCTGGCTACGGCTTTGCTCCCACGGTGCTCGTACGACTGCCGGCTGAATGTGTCAGACGCTGCAGATGGAAAGGGGTGTGACACCTCTCCCCATGTGCAGCGTCGGCCACACGAGCACTGTGTGAGGACAGGATGCCGGGGCCTCTAGGATGCACTGGAATGTAATCCGGCTGACTCCCTGCGTTCAGGGGCGGAAGAGCGTTTGGGGTTGTATTGAAGTCAATGGCACAGCAGCCATGCCCCCCGCCCACAGTGCGATTGCCCGCACCCGGAACGCAGGCACATTAGTGCCTGCATTCCGGTCCAGTGCAATCTGCAAAAATAGTGCTTGCAGCATTTTTGCGGATCACACTGGACTGGAACACAGGCACTAATGTGTCTGGGTTCCGGGTGCAGACGATCGCCCTGTGGACAAGGGGCCTGCCTGCGGTGCCATTGACTTCAATGCACTGCCATGCCCCCTCCCGCCCCTGAATGTAGGTGCTTTTTCGTTGATAGATCTCATTGAGCTCGTCATTTGAAAAGTAGATCTCCAGACGAAAAATTGTGGGCGCCCCTGATCTAGAACCTTCCTTTAAAAGTGGCCCTTCTAACAGCACTACATCTGGATATACAATCTTGGAAATGTAAGTATTGTGTTTCAAAGAGCCGCACCTATGCATGTTCTCAGACAGAGTTGTTCTTTGGCATTGCCATATTTTCCCCCAAAAGTTTACTTCTAGCTCCATGTAAACCAGGAGATTGTGTTACCCACATGTCAAAGTGACTCATCAGGAGTTCCATATGCCTTTGCTGTCAGTTCCGCAAATGTATGTCCAGGCAGTCGCGCCTCGGAGGTCAGTGAACAATCTGTTCCTTACACCAGAGGGCCTCAAACTTTCTAAACACAGGCGCAGTTCACTGTCCTTCAGACCTTAGGAGGCCAGGCTGTGGGCAAGGGGAGTAGAAAATGCCCCGGCGTCAGTGAGAGTAATCAATGTCCCAGGGTTGGTGAGCAGTGGGAATAAAACATTGCCTAGTGCCTGTGGTTAGTAGGAGAAGGAATAATGCTCCATCATTGGCTTGAGACTTTCAGTGAAAGGAATAGTGTCCCATCATTGGTATCAATAGGAGGAATAGTCCCCAATCCTTAATGTCAGTGAAATGAATAGTGCCCCATTGTAAGAGGAACAGTACTCCATAATTGTTGTCACTGAGAGGAAGAATGCCCCATCATTGGTGTCAGTGGAAGGAATAGTGTCCCATGATTGGTGTAAGTTGAAGGAATAGTGCTCCATTGTTGGTATTAGTGGGGGGAATAGTGCCTCATTATTGGTGCCTTTGGAAGGAATTAAGCCCTATTGTTGTTAACAGAGGAAAGAATGGTGCCCTATCATTGGCATTAGTGGAAGAAATAATGCCCCATCACTGGTGTCAGTGTGAGCAAGTGCCTCAGAGGATGGGTAAAGGCAAGCAAAGGTCCGCAGTTTGCAGACCACTTCCTTAAACCATCAGGAGCCCATATGAGTAAAATGGCTTCTTCAAGAACCATTACTACATAGTCAGTAGAAACCATCTTGAAGGACTGTGTCATCAAAAATGTCCAGCTTGGAAAGAAATCTCTCTTCCAGTCATTTGCAAGGCACATTTATGGTGAACTACAAGGTAGAACCAAGGGTTCTTACAAGGTTCAGTTTGGGAGTTTGGTATTGCAGTCTGCAACCGACTTACCTGTTCAATACATTTCTTGTATGTACTCCCCCTGTCTCTTTTTGATACATCCCATAAGTGTGCTGCCATGCTTGTGCCAGGAAAATAGAAAATTGTACACTGACTTCCCTATAATTTGCCTTTTGATGGTAGCATATGCTTTTCTCATCAGTTTTGCAGAGAGTATAGTTATTGGAATATGGCATCTAGCAAAAGTGAAAAATGTATAGTGTAGTTGGTCCTATAGGTTAAGAGGGGCAAAGTTTAGCCATGAGTGCCTGCTGGTATGCTTTAGTACCTGAAAAGGAAAATTACCAGCTGTTAAGAATACAATTTACCATTGTTCAGCTATTGAGATCTGTAAACAACAGGATTTATACAACAAAGAAGATACACAAAGAAGTTACATGAAAAAAATAGCACAGAACTCCATCTACTAACTGCAATAAAATGCTAAATAGCCTTAAAAAATATTTTGCATTAACAAATGTTTTGTACTTTCCATTTGAGTCCTGACATTATAAATTAAGAAAACCATCCATACCCCTGCCATTTCCGGGGATCTGGTGTCTGGGCATTTGCTGGATTATGAATACTACCGACAAGTACGTATCAAACTTGTCTGAAAGAAAAGTGTCTGCGTGTCTGTAATATCAACCAGATTATTTGCCTATTCTTCTGATTTGCAACAAAATATACAAAATAACCATGTGTAATTAGATTTATGCAATAACTCCAGCAAACAGCTATGGTGTGTAAGGTATTTAAAGTTTAACTTTCATTAAATTGTTTATATTATTTAATGTATTTAGTAGAGATAGGTAAATGCTCATCATTAGGCTTTGCACTACATTATTATTTATTTGCTGAACTGAATACAGCTTTATACATGTATAAATATCAACAGGTTACCTTGAAACTGAGCCTCTGAACTACACGCTGGGATTCACTCTCCAAAATAACTCTGAAAAACAATATACTATTTATTTAATGGAAAAAAACATGCATGAATTACACAACTCATTCATACATTGCATGTCATGCAGTCATTGTATCCGCATTAAAAAGTGAACCGAGAACAAAGTGTTTTCAATACCTGCATATTTGAAGTAAAGTAAATGATCATATGCTGATACTCCTTTTCTACCCGGTGTTCTTTCAGTTTGAAACCCCAGTGGAAGATATAGACATATATATGTAAGTTTTTAGTTTCCTAAGGGCTAGTTCACACCAAGTGCGTTCCAGGAGCAGAGCAGGAACCGATCTGATCAAAACTGCATCCAATGTATTTCAATAGTATTTTGGGCTCTAGTTCACACTGCAGCGTTTAGTTCCCGAGCATGTATAAAAACTGCAGCATGCGCTTTTTTTCCTGCTCTGGAACGCTCTGGAACACATGCAAATGCATCAAAATGCATGCAAACGCCCTGGAATGCACTGAAAGCCCATTTGAGGCTAAAAAATACATACATTTTTTTTTTTTTTACAAAAATGGCTCAGAACGCATCAAAAACGCGACAAAACACACTGCAATGCGTGTGCAGAAACTCATGCAGCTCTGGTCTGCATTTGGTGTGAACAAGCCCTAAAGTTCTTCTTGAAAGCTACACCACAGTTTTGAAAGTCCATACTGTGTTGCATTATATTCCCATTTTCCAGTATGTGAAAAGCTTCACCTTCCACCTACTGATTTAGAGTACCTCTAATAATAACATAAATACATTACGACTTACCCCTGATCTATTATTTCATCGAGTATCAAAAAAGCTGTGTCCAAGTTGTCCAGCACAGAGCTTCTATCCACATTTTTCCTATGGTAGAAAAAAAGAGAAATGATGTCATGCTTTCATGATATCTTTACTTCATATTTAGATATCTCAAAGTAAACTCTACTCGCAGTAATGCACACCTGCATTCCTTGCTCAAATGAGTTGTAATCTTTTGGGGTTGTACCCATTCATTTATAATTTGTCCCCACCATCCAAGCAGCTAAAAATGCACATGGCCCTCAATATGCCACAAAACAAACAAAAGTAAGATACCTACAATGTGTTGTGGTGCAAATAGATGAACATGTACAAAAAGAAATGTATAGCATCTCAATATATCATGAAATTCACTACAACGTATGCTGTAAGGCCAGCAAATAGCTGTGTGCAGGGCTCCAAACTGAAACTGTGATTACAAATGTGTTGGCAGGATATCCCATAACTGTACAGAAGTGGTTCTCAACCACTGAGCTGCAGCTAGGGTTGCCACCTGTCCGGGATTCATCCAGACAGTTCGGTTTTTGAATCCTTTCAGCTGACACCCGGACAGAAGATACTACGGTAAGTGCCGATACCGAAACTTTAACATTTTTGACAGATGCGGCTACCGAGGTCGAGACAGAGCAGAAAAGGTGGAATACTTTTGGCTTGCTGTTATTGTGGGAGTTTTTTGTATACAGCCATCTACGGTCTTAATTTTATGTAAGCATATTTTAAATAAAATTAGGAAGTAATTCAACAGTCCACACTATGGATTCTATCTCATCTTTTGTATGAGTGACATTGTTGTGAAGAAAAGTGGTTTGTGACTTTTGGTTGTGTGGAGCTCAGGTGGGAGCGGAGAAACCAGCAGGGCCGGCAGTGCAATTTTGACGAGGTGGAGTGAAAGCAGCAGTTGACATGGAGAGCAACTTTTACAGTCGTATGAGAAAGGGTTGTATCCCACTGGCCAGCAGGCAAAGGGGATCTGTGATCTGCGTTATCAGACCTTATTTATAAGGGTCTGACAAAGAGAGAGGGTGTCTTTTGGGAGCATTCATGAGTGGAGGTGAAATTGGTGTGATTAATAGCAGTGGTGGAGGAGTGTTGACAACCCTGCACACATTAACACATTGAGGATCGTTTTCTTTGAATGGGACTATTTTTCTTGGATGTTGATAAAGTATATTTTATGTTTGAATTTTTTTTTTTACGATTGAAAGCACCTGTTATTAGTTTGAGATTCCATACACTTATATGTTTGTTCACAGATATACTGTATTTATTTATTGTTATACTGCCAGGTTCACACACGTGTTTACTGCGCCACCCCAGAACAACACAGCTTCATATTATTTTGTATTGCTGTATAATGTATTGTTTCGGTTGTAGTCCTCTACGGCTGGTCTCCTTACTCCCTCCCCTGGCTGTCTCTTCTTTCTCTTTCTCCTAGCTGAATCTCCTCACTCTCTCCTCTTAATTCTCCACCATGTACTGAGCATAAAGGTTTATATGAATGCAGAGGGATAGGGAAGGCACAGAGAGGAGGAGAAATTTTGCCCCAGTCAGATTGGGATATAGTAATTGGGACTAGTTTTCTAACCTGACCACTTTCCCCTGAAAGCAGCCTGCTAGGAGCATTTGTAGGCAATCACAACAGAAAGGTTTGTTATATTTTCCAATTTGTACTTTTAGAAAGTATCATTTAAAAAGCTCTGGGCAAGAACACATATTTTATACTCAGCAGACCTCAGCAGTCGCTGATAAAAATGCTGTAAAAATGTAGTGAATAGATGCCAGCAAAATATTCGGTTATATGAAAGAGCAGATAACATATAAGCTTTGCGGCAAGGAGACATAATACATGTTCCACTCACCGTAGCATATGGCACAGACTCTCGCATATACATGTCAATGCAGACAGAAGCAGCAGCTGTAGGTAGACATAGCAGTTATACTTTGAACAATTGTTGAAAAAACAAAACAAATCGGAACAAAACCACTTTGCTAAAAACAAAACACATGACCAATATCATTGCAAAGTATAAAGCCTATAAAGACCTTCAACAATAAAGAAATGGAACTTTCTAAAACAATACAATGTCTATGCATATTATTACTATTACATTTTGTTTTGTAACAACTTTTATTAATAGAAATGTTTTAAAACCATAAAAAAGGTCTGATACTTGTAGAAATGGAACAGTCATGAGTACCCTTGCTTAAAGTGCACCTTTACACCCTGTCACTAAAAATCACAGTGACATTCAGCTCTGCTTGCTGATATGAAATTATCTTACGTTCATTGGTTAAACAAACATATTGTTATTTTACTTACAATTACTGTTTTTTTTAAACTTTTTGACACAAATGATGTTATGTGCCCAATTGTTGCCTCCTTGGAAGTCTCATCTGTAATCTCATGAGATCTCAGAGAAAGGCATTTTTCTCCCCTGAGATGATGTGCATGGTCACATGTCCTAGTCACATGTGCCAGAATTCCAGGAAGTAAAGGGAGATCTAGTAATCTGCCCTTAGTAAAAATGGCCACCAGAAGAAATAGGAGGAAAAGTAAAATAAGGTATGCATAGAATAAAAAGAATAAGTATCTGTTTGTAGATTGTCATTACTAAACATTTCTAAACATGTATTTGTTGTCATTTCAAAGATATGGGTAAAGGTCCGCTTTAATATTTTTAGGCAAGTAGAATTGGATATCTTTTCCAAATCAGCTATTCTGTCCTAGATTCTTCATTTCTCCTGCCTTCTCCAAACACTTCACCCTTTTTTGAATAACCCTGTTAATATTTATTTAATTCATGTGACTTACATCTTGCCATTGCCAATGGTGATATCAGAATTGGATCCATTTTAATCTTACCTGCTGATTTTCAGCTATTGTGTTAAAACTTTGCCTTGATATGCAAACATGTTATAAATGCTATGATATATTCTGGGGCTAAGGTTCAGTCTGGTTGGCAATTATCTAGTTATTCTTCTCTGTTATATTCAATGACATAGGTTACATAGTATTTGGGGTTGAATAAAGACATACGTCCATCAAGTCCAACCCATATAGGTCCACGCATCATCTCATTCTTAGGGATACTGGTATCCCTGGACATTACGGTCCCTCAAGAAATTGTCCAAACGTTTCTTGAACAAATCTACACTCTTGGCTGAAATCACTGCCGATGGCAGTGAGTTCCAGACCTTAACCGCTCTAAATGTAAAGAACCCTCTTCGCCCATTGTGCTGGAATTTTTTCTCCACCAACTTTAGGTGGTGGCCTCTAGTCTTTGTAATGGAGTTAATCTCAAACAGTTTGTTGCCAATGTTGCTGTCACCATTGAATAGGTATTAGACTAAAATATCCTATTTATTTGCAAAGGATTGTATAATGGAGGACATCGGATAATTTTGAGTAAAACTTACAGGGCTATATAAGAATGCAATTTGCAAGGAACCAGGTACTTTTTTTTTATGAATAAGGACATTATCTTCTTGTGAGGACATTATATTTAATCACAAGAACATAATGCCACAGCCATCTTCACAGTAATGCTAAAATTTGCCCATCTTAGCCACAAGTAGATATTTTCAGCCACAAAAAGCCATTAGGGTAACTTACTTCATTTTCATCAGGTCCCCCAATAATGTAGCAAACAATATCCGATAAATGCTGGCACAGTACTGTAACTCCATCCACAAGTATCACTTCATCTGTGCAATACATGGAGAAAACTGTGTGTTCATAAACATGTATAAAGTAGTCATATAGAAAATCAATGTGATACATTTTTAAGCTGCCGAGTCTGAAAATACTTATGTGAGACATAAGCAGGGTAAAGTAAGCATGGGCCAGGAGGTGAGAAATGGCCCTCCTGCTTTACTAACACTTAGCATAGCCAAAGACAGGTTGAGGTCTCACTATAGATTTAAAGTGCCAGGACCAGCTACAATGTTCTTCAAGACTCTGCAAAAATGAAGGTGTGTTGCATGCAGTGAAATGTTTGTTTCCTTTTCTCTATGGAGAGGGACGCGATTGCCCATTTGCACAAAGATTTTTCAACCTGTCAAAAAATCTTCATGAGGTGCCTATGAAATTTGGAATCTCTCATTATTACCCTCTGGCATGTTGTGACGCAGACTGCTCAGTCACTATGTTTGATGCTTGAAATAACGGCTTCTTATGAGCATCCTTAAAGTGAATCTGTGCTCCATTTTAAACTGTTAAAAGTAAGTGCCCTGGAGCTCCACCACTGACTCCAAGCTGTAGAGAGACTACAAATCCCAGCTCAGACAGGAGGAAGAGGGCCCTGGTGACGTCGACATTTCCATAAAAAGGCCCACCAAAATCTTCAGCACCGTGATGCTCTTAAGCTGACCCTGCCGATACTGACCGCTGAGGTAGTCTCATTGGTTAGCCTCAGTTGGTGGTTTATCAACCACTTCTTCATTCAAATTGCAGTGGAGATAGTTAGAAACCATCACAATGTCAGCTGCAAGACACCCCGCCACTTCCATTCAAGATTATGGTTGCTTTAAACCAAGAATGATTAAAACAGAGGGTAGCAGATTGCTATGGTCTGGTTAATTCAATACAGTAATGTTTTCAACCAGAAATGGATGGAAAGCTTATAAAACTCTAATCAGCATTAAAGAGTAATGCATGTGTTAGGTAGTCATTAAGAAATCCATGAATTATTTCCAGATGGAAAGACCTCTGTCCTCTTAACTTTATTTTGATAAGACTGGTGGCCGCTATATCCTCTATCCCCCCACCATTGGTTTTGTAACTTCCCCGCTGTAGCTCTGTCTGTGATGACATTATTATATCCCCTCTCGCTGCAGTATGCTCACCTGGAAATCTCTTATTCCCGGTCTGAAACATCCACTGTTCCTGCATCGTTTTACTGACAGCCCATTAGACTCCTGGTCTGTCCCATCTTTCACTTTGACTGACAGGCCAGGAGTCTCCAGTTTAAATGGAACATACCTGACCCTTCATCCTATCCATAGCCCACCCATTCACAACTATAATTCCCTCTGCATGATGGTAATTGTAGTTTCACATAATGGCACCACACAAAGAGTGGATGCAACACATTTGCTGCTATGATACCTCTCTTGAGTGCCCAGTTAGAGCTGCATTTTTCAATAGAATATTTCAGAGGGAATTTTTTACTAAAGGCAGCACTTTTACTGTAAATGTTAATAATCTTAAAAAAAGCACTTATCTGGGCGCATGCGCGAGGCTGACCAAGATGGACGCTACCTGATCAGCTCCGCGCCAGAACGGGAACTATTGAGAGCCTTTTAGCCTGCCACAGCCCTTGATCTTGGACAATTCAGGTGACCATGGGTCTGGGATCATCTAGCAGACGGATTGATACCACCATGTCCTGCACTAGAAGTCGGGGAGGTAAACTAAGCCTGTCAACGCTTCACGAGGCCTTGGGCCGCGCTGCTACCAAGATGGCGCCGCCACCCCGAGATGATGAGTCTCGTTCCTCGACAGAGCCTCCAGACCCCCTCGAGGTCGATACGCAGGCCACTCAGGCAGACCCAGAGATTACCCACTCACTGCTTGCTCAGTTTGAAATGACCCTTCACAAGGCATTGGACAGGGTCTCCAAACAGATCACCTCACAACTCATAAAGGAGATTAGAGATGTGGGCAAGCGCACTACCACGCTGGAATCTCGTTGTAACGACATCACCACTATTATAGAAGGACACGAAGATGACCTGGAGCGGCTGCGCTCCCTGAATCTATCTCTCCTCACACAGCTGGAGGATTCTGAGAACCGGGACCGCAGGTCAAATCTCCGCATCCGAGGGGTCCCTGAGTCGGTCCTGGATCTACAATCAACGATGACAGCACTATTCCAAGAGCTGGCACCGGACATTCCCATTGAAAGGTTAGAGTTTGACAGGATTCACAGAGCGCTTACCAAACGCACGCAGGAGGGCCCTCCACGTGATATCATCGTGCGCCTCCATTACTACCACTCTAAAGAACGTCTTCTTCAGGCGGCTAGAGAGGCTGGGACTTTGGAGTTCCAGGGATTTGCTTACCAGATATTCTCGGATCTCTCGCCGGCTACCATCGCCCGCAGAAGGGAATTTCGCCCCCTGCTTTAAGAGCTCCAAGCGAAGAGGATCAGGTATTGATGGGGCTTCCCCTTTAAGTTGCAGTTTTTCTATGACGGGAAAACCTACACCTTTACTACCGTGGATGACCTGAATAGCTGCCTAGATTCGTTGCAAATGCTGGGGCGTACAGATGTAATGGCTGCAGCTGGTCCCCCCTCTTCCCCATCAAACACTAGAGGAGAGCGACCTACCAAATCATCGACCAACCTACCCTTACACTCTGCAACTCCTTGGAAGACGACCCAGCCTCCATCTACCCCTGGGACATTCGGATGACCTTACCAACAGGCCTGCTCACCCTATTGCTTGTCGAGAGCTGTCATGCACACTTTCGACCCCGACACCGCTTGATTCATGCGGTACAGTGGTAGTGGACTTAAAGTTGAATTGGTTGTTTTCCTGCTCAATATGTCATCATACCACGGGAGGTACTATTTACAGTTTATGTCGAGCGAGCCGGCCGGCTCCGCTTCGGTTTTCGGGAGTGGCATATATTGTTGTCATTAACTTTGTCAGTCCTGGGCTCCCCTACCATCGAACTGAGTAATTACACTACTGCTCATGGGTACTTCTACCCGGGTGCCCACCTGGGACGACAGCTTTTGCTCCACTCTGTTTGACATCTCTTGTGTTATTATTATTTCCCCTAGTTCTCTCCATGTCTGTCTGCTCACCCACCTATTGCATCGTTAAATAGCTACGAGTGATATTGTGATGGGCACTTTAATGTTTGAAACGTTTAATAGGTCTTGTTCCCGTTCTGGTAATTTTCATGCACCCCGACCTTCACTACCTTGGGCTTGGTGTTAATCCAGGTCCTGGATGAGTGAACGACCTACCCTGATTGACTCAGCGCATAGACACTGTGACCTAGGTGTTTCCACTGTTTGGTTCTTTTGCTCCCTCCCCATCCTCCCATCTCTATCCTCAACTTCCCTCCAACACTTCCCTCTCTCCCCAGTCTGTCTCTTTTCCCTCCTTCCCCTCCCACCTTTCCACATACCCCTCTCCTAATGGCAATTAAAGTGGTATCCCTCAATGTTAAAGGATTTAACCAACCTATCAAAAGATCTAAAGCCTTTAGATATTTCCAGCAAATTAGGGCAGATATTGTTTGTCTTCAAGAGACCCATTTTCCACAATCATTTGATCCATCATTTCTACATGCTAATTATCCTTTATTCTTTTTAGCCTCTGCACCTACGAAACATCGAGGAGTTCCGATAGCATTTGGTCGCTTGATCATCCTCACAGAGGCTAAGCGAGTCATTGCGAAATCTTGGAAGTCCCCTGACCTCCCTTTTGGTGAAGTTAAGTCTAGAGTATCACGTGTGATGTTTTTTGAGAAACTCACTGCCATTCAGAGGGATGCGATGGAGCCATTTCGGAAATTGTGGGAGCCATGGATTGAGTCATACCTTCCTCCCTCCTTTGGTGCAGATTCCTTGTCCATTTAAAAATGTGGAGCTCGGAAGAACACTTTAACAGCTCGATGTTTCTACCCTTCGGCTCTTATACTTAGCCTCCTTATCTTCTGCCTTCCTCTCCCTACCCCTTCATCTAAAACCTGTCCTTCTCCACTGTACTTCTCCTCCTGTCCCCTTATCTTGATATGCCTCTCCCCTCCCCCTTTTTCTTTTGGAACCGACCAGCTCAGGTCACTTCTCTGAGTCCTTGTCTCAAAGTCCACACTATCTGGTAATTCCCTACAAATGTTGGACACTGTTACCTGTACTGGACTTTGCTTGAATTGATGTTGTGTTTTATACTTTTATATTTTGATAATTTTGGATTAGAATGATACTACATTTTATATATAATGTAAATGTTATATCTTGTATTCCCCACCTGCGGTGGTTGCGATACGATTTGTTTACTTGAGTCTACACAATGTGCTCATAAAATGACAAAACAATAAACCTTTTGAAAAAAAAGCACTTATCTGATGGCTCTTAAGTATTACATTTTTATGTATAGCGGAGATCAGCTTTTAGAGTCACCAGATGTACTGAGGCCTCATAAACACTATGTTGAAAAAACATGAGTTGAGGTGAGTTTGGAGCTCATTTCTAAACACATCTGGACTCCTAAAATGCTCTTCTATGACTGAATGCAGACCCAGATGCCCAGGAGTGTCAAGGTACCTTCAGTCTAGAAGTGTTTACCTAAACTAGAAATTTCTGTGTCCCGGGTCCGTATAGCCCAGTTTTACACAGCTATGCATGTTAACATTTAAAAACACGTGTAAATGCAACTAAGCCCCTCAACAACTAAACAGGAAAAAGTAACGTGGGAAGCATAACGTTGTTTAACTGCACTGAGAAAACGTTTCCCTAACATGGGGCATTATGCTGTTGAACATTTATAGACAGATTGTAGGTTAGAAAGGAGAAGAAAAGAGGTCTCTTTATTGGCTAGCCCACAACACCCCAAATAAGACATTGTTAAAGAAAAATAAATGAATCAACAAATAAAGACATTCAAATGCAAGTCATGTCACTGGGCCTTCTGGCCCTTCTGGAAAAGCTGAGGATCCCAAATCCTGTGAGTGCATTCCTCAACATATCACATTATATTTTTATGGAATTTGAGATTTCTAGCTTTCCAAAGATCCTGCGAGAAGGCCCAGTGATGTCATCTACGCCAAGGCAAGCATGCCAGAAGCCTTACAGGTGAGGTCGACTTTAAGCAGAATCGGACAGGGAAAAATCCGACCAAATCCTAGGAATGTAGGTCTTTCTTCTTCTTTAGGCATGTTCAGTAGACAAATTAAGAGGTTGTCTGTACAATGGGCTACAGTTCAGTCATTTTAATCAGGGATGTATTTTTCAAACTACCCTGAGATTGTGCTGTGTAGCCATTTTAAATATAAATAGTGCTCATAAGAGTTATTTTATAAGATAGACCCTATTCCTAACTGGATGACTTTTAGTTTGCTTAAAGCGACACAAAACCCTCAGCTTTTTTTTCTTTATATACATCTACACAGTGAACATTCTCCAAAAGCTACATTTATTTATGTTTTAAAATAAAGTCTTACTATTTTAACCCATTTAGAAAGTCTGCTGTGCTCGCTCCCATTGCTCTTGTCTCGAGTCACACTTCCTGTCACTTAAGGTGCCCACACACCTTACGATAATCGCAGGAAATCCCGCGATCGTACGATTATCGTAAGGTGTGTGGGAGCCATGCTACCTCTGCTAGTGTAAGGTCGCACGACTTTTACCTTAGGAACATGTTCGAAAACTAGCCGTACATCGCAAGATGTTCGCAAGATAAAAGCCACACGGGCCGGTGTGCGCAAGCGCACACTGCCCGTTCAGCATTGCGGTCATCGGAAGCCTGCCCCTCAGCAGGGGGCGGGCTTGCGATCAGTCCAAGTACGATCTGCCTGTCCAAGATAGGCAGATTGTACTTTTTTTAAATTAACTTACAACCATCGCAAGACAAAAGTCTTGCGATGGTTGTAAGGTGTGTGCCCAGCCTTAGAAAGAGCTGTGCATGTTGATTCTGGTAACGTGCACATCTTTCTTTGCCTACAACTGTCATGAGGCAGAGAGGAGTCCTCTCTCACTGCACATGTGGCTAAATTCACGCGATAACCTAGCCTTAACCACGAGCTACCGAAAAGGCAAGTCTCCAGTAGATGCTTTTTACAGGGCTGCCATTTGTTTATAAGTAACATTGTGGTGACAGGGTCACTTTAAAGCTTATATGAGATTTCTTAGAATAGGTTTAGAGCAACTTTAAGTGTTGTGAAAAGACTTTATACAGGATAATTTTGCACACGTAAATTTCTGTTAAATAATTAGATACAATTTTCTGTAGGTCAGGAGAATGTCAATGTTTTAGCTGTCAGGTCCCCCACATTGACACACGGCGATTTGTCTCTTACTTTCAGATCTTTGTGTCTTATGGAATACTCTTCTTTCAAATTCTCTCTGTTCCATGTGGGAAGGGAATGTGTCATCATAATACTGAGGGAGAAAGAAAGGTCATTTTAAGAAAGAATGCATCTCAGGAAATTAAAGCAATTCATGCAGGGCATAAAAAACATAGATGAACAAGAGTGGTGGTGGTGGGAGGGGGTTGCAAGAGAAAAATGCCAATCTTTTTGTTTTTAGAGCTGCCACTTAAGCCGTCAGAGACCTTTTCTATAGCAGCATGATTGTTACAATCAGCAGTGCAGAATCACTGTTTCTAAGACATATCTGTCTACTTTGTCACTGAGCATCATAAAAATGATTCAATATTTTTTACTACCGTTTATCAGGAGGGGGAAAAGGCGCATCCATACCTATCTTACAGGAACCCCTAATGGCTGCTATGTCTTTTTTCTTTCCCGTAATATTTCTGTTATTGTACAGAAAAATCTGATGCTTCTGTTCCACAGGTTACTCAATTCTGGTTGCTCCCAGGTCTAAAGATCACCCAGGATGTCTGTTTCTCTCCAAGGACGAGCTGATCTAGTCTGTATCAGGTTACAACCATCTCATGCCTGACTGTACAGTTGATAGTGCAGTTTTTTCTGTACTTTCTGTGTAGCGTATAGTGTACTCTATATTAGAGAGACATTTGAGTATACTTAAAATGTGTGTTGTCTTGTCCCAATCTAGCAGTGATTGTGTGGAGATAAGCAGATCATATCCTTACAGTGTTCACTATATGGCTGTAATGCATACATCAATATGGGCACAGTCCCTAGTGTACATAGGGAGAATTTACTGAAAGTGAAGTTTGTTTAAAGCAGTGGTTCTCAACCTGTGTAACCTCAGGACCCACATTTGCCCTTGGTCATTAAGTCATGACCCAAGTCGCACTGCACTGGAACACATGGCATTGCAGTACCACGCTTTCCGGTGCGTGCGAACCAACTGTAGGTGGGAAGTGCGTTTGGGGTGCCATTCATATAAATGGCAATGCAACACACCTCCCACACCAGAATTTGCGGTAGGTGCGATTTTGCGTGGTACAGTGCATTCATCACATAGGACTGTGGTTTAGAAGCTTAGGCTTAGAAGCGCTTCATTCCAAATTGAAATTGTCTCCATGTCAATGAGGACAATCACGGGGCCAGGGTTGTGGGGGTCTGCGGGCAGGGGGGCTCATCTAAATCTGAGTGCCCCCCTTCCTGATCCCCCCCCCCTTGTGAATGAGTAATGGGTAGTTGTTACCCCTACTCATTCACCAAATAGTAAATAAACACACAACACCAAAAAACAGTCCTTTATTAGGAGAAAAACAGAAAACCGTTCTTGACAATTCCTTTATTTAACCCCTTCATGACTGAGGCCCTTTTTTCCATTTTTGCACCCATGTTATATTCCACATTTTAGGCCTGAAAATGACGTAAAACCCCCCAATGGGGGGGGCGGCCCCTTCTTCGGGACGCAGAAGCGATCTGGCGACAGGTAAGTCGCCAGGATCGCTTCTGTTGTAAAGCCGACAGTCGGCTCTACAAGTTTAAACAGAGTCCCGGCGGCAAAAGTCACCGGGAGTCTGTATAAACAGCCCCGATGCTGGCGACGTACACTGTACGTCGTCAGTCACGAAGGGGTTAAAGATAAAAAACCCAAAAAGTGTTTATCGATTGAATCCATTGTCAATCACGTTGTCCAGCTATATAGATCCATGCCAATCACGAAGACCAATGGACGCGACTTGCCGGAAAAAAAAGACCTGCCGCCCACTGACCCCGACAAACTGTCGCTATAAAATTACAGCTTTGGACCTGAATATCAACAAATGGACGGAGGGAGTTGTGACATCATGGGACTTGTTCCGCCCATTTGTAGGCATTCAGGACCAGAGACCTGTCATAATAGGAACTCTGTTCCCGAATGGTATTCAGGAGCTCCCAAACGAATACCATTCGGCTCTGGAAGCCGAGTTGATGTTGTTATTATTAATAACAACTACTTGTAAGGAATTTTAGCGGGGACCGCACGCTTTATTGTTTTTGGCATTGGGGGTCTGGTAGGAATTCAGGGGGAACCCCACAGTTTTGTATAATATTGTTTCTGTGGACTGTGTCTAGCATGCACGGTCTCTGAATTGTCACAAGCTTGCTGTTGGGGCTGATGAAATTGATGTACATGTAACAGCTTTGATATAAAAGTATTCCCTGCCTCCTGCAAGAACAATCACCATGTGGCTAAGTGATAAGGCTATTAACCACTTCAAGGCCAGGTGTTTAGACCCCCTTCCTGGCCAGGCCATTTTTCAGTATTCAGCGCTGCGGTACTTTGAATTACATTTATTCCATCATGCAACGCTGCACTGAAATACATTTTATACCATGTTTTGGGGACAGGTATATCTTCCTTTTGGTGGTATTTAATCACCACTGGGGTTTTTATTTTCCACTATATAAATAAAAAAGTACCGAAAATTTTTGGGGAAAAAAACCTGTTTTCCCTACGTTATGTTATAAAACAGTTATTACCAAAATTTTTGGCAAAATATAAAAGACGGGGTCACGTTGGGTAAATAGACACAAAACATGTCAAGCTTTAAAATTGCGCGCACCAGCGAAAATCGCAAAAAAACCTACCATACCCAAAAATGGCCATAGGCGACTCTTTAAAAGCTTTTACCGCCCATCAGTTTAGTGTTATCAGTGATTTATGGCCCTAGACTTATTGCTCTCATTCCGACGTTCGCAACGATATGTAACATGTGCTGCGTAATGGGCGCAATCGTCGTTTTCGCGCGTATGCGCACCCAACACCTGTTTGCATGCGTGTATGTAGGGGTGGAGACTTTAACAAAAAATGTTTTTATGTGTAACTTTACATTTTTGAGGGGGGAAACTTTAATTCCCCCCCCCCTATTTTTTGCTATCCCATAGAGGCTAAGAAACCCCCTTATGTGATAGCCAAAGAAGTGACAGGTCCTCTTTATGGAGACATCAAGGGGTCTCCAAGACCCCTAATGTCACCTAGGACCTAGCATCTGAAGCTGGAGAGTGACACAAGAATGCGGAAGTGATGTAATATACATCACTTCCGCATTCTGACAGCGGACAGGGGACCGGAGGGAGTTCATGTACCGATCTCCCTCTGATCCCCTGTCAGAGAGGCACAATGCTGGTCACAGCGTGACAGCGGAGCCGCACGTACAGGGACCTCATACAAGCGATCCGCCGGCTCTATAGTCGGCGGATCGCTTGTATGTTAACAGGCATCGCTGCCTGTTTTTAAAAACCAGGCATTTCCCACTGGTGTGCGCCGTAGCTGAGGGGCGTGGCTGAGCCGACGTTTAAAGACGCCCGCTCAGATCTAGAGAGCTCCTGGCCGGCCGTTTTTTTACAACGGCCGGCCGGGAAGTGGTTAAATAACACAGAGCTCCTGGAGAAAGGACACTAAAGGATAAATGGATGCCTGAGAGTTGTTATCCCCTGGGACAGTCCAAGTCCCCTGCTGGCACACAACTGTATAGGAATGCACAGGGCCGCCATTAGAAATCTTGGGTCCCCCTACATCCTACCTGACAGGGCCTAAGTAGCACACAGTGAGATGCTGCATCATGCTCTAATGTACAGGAGGAATAGAGCAGAGGTTCTCACCCTTAGTGAGGCCAAGGCCCAGTAGTTTTCTTCCAAAACCTTCCTTAAAGTAGAAGTAAAGTGGTTATTAAAAAAATAGAGCTTCAGAGGTGATTGCCATAATGTGTTATAATGCACAGCACATTATGGCTGACTTACTTGCAGACAATCCCCTTCTAAATTGCGGTCTGCTCTCCCCTCCCTCGCTGGCACTGCCATCTTCTTCTGGTCTTCTTCCGGGTTCTTTGGCTGGCTGGCATGATGTAACTCCTGTGCATTGGAATTACTTAATTCCAGCATGCTGGGTCGGTGCACTGAAAAGAAAAATTGCTGACAGGCAGGTAGGAGCTTTTTTGGTAGAAGAGATGTAGACAGTCTTTCCTATCAAAACCTTCCCATTAGCAATTTTTTTATGAACACATTTTACTTCCACTTTAAGGCAGCCCATTGAAAATACAATAAAAGTATGGAAATATATGTTCTGCATTCCAATACTTGTATTTATATAATAAACACATGGAAATGTAAAATATGTATTCCCATACATTTATTTACGAGCATACACTTTTTTTTAGTGCCTGCCATATATGTCTGTTGATCTACCTTGCAGTTATGCTATCATTACGAGGTAGATTGATAGACATGTATAGCAGGCACTAGGCAGGTGGCACATCCGTTCATTGCATGCAGTGCTACGTGTGTCCTTCAGCGCAGGTCTCCTCCACTCACCCATGTTGTCACTGTCTCCCTCTCTGCACCGTTTCTTGATTTTGTGTGATCGCTCCACTACTGCAGGTGTAGAGTTGACACTAGTGTCTCCCAACAGTCTGACACCCAGCTTCCAAGACACCACGAGCACAGACCCCCAGCACCCAGGTTTACCTCTGCCCCCTTTTTCCAACAAAGGTTGCCCCTGCAACCTTCTTTTAAAACTGCTCACCCCTGCATTCCTCTTCTTACTTTGCTCACCTCTGCACCCCTCTCCCTATTCTGCTCACCTCTGCACCCCCTGCATCCCTGTTCCTATTCTGCTTACCTCTGCATCCCTGTTCCTACTCTGCTCACCTCTGCATCTCTCTTTCTATCCTGCTCACACTTTGCTTTATTTGTAGCAGGGGGTGCAGAGGTGAGCAGTGTAGGAATAGGAATGCAGAGGGTAAAAAAGTTAACAGTGTTAGAAGAAGGCAGCAGGCTGCCACCCTCTTCCAACACTATTAACTTCTGCACACTTTTCAATACTTCATCTTACACTGTGCATCCCTTTTCTTCTAAGCTGCTCACCCCTTTCAGCACCTCCCAAAGACGAGGACTGCGAGAGATGCAGGGGTGGAGCCTAATCACGGGGTGGGCGGACCCTAAGCAAAAGCAGATGGGACCCTGATTGGCCCAGTAAACGCCTCCGCCCACTCTCCATGCCAACTAGTTTATGGAGAGGCTCCATTTCCTCCTTCCATGCATGGGGCCAGGACACCTTTAGGGAAGGACGGGAGGAGCCTGTCCATCTATTGGTTACTATGGCAAGTGGGAAGGACCATCCTTCTTTCCTAGGGGCAGCCGGTGTCGGCTTGGGCCCCCCTGCTCACTTGATGGGTCCGAGCCCGGTACAAGAGTGATGGCTGTACCTCCCCTGATGGTAGCCCTTAGAATGCAGCACGCATGCTGGGGAGGGGGCAGGGGCATGTGATCAAGCCTTCTCCCTGTGTAATCATCTGCACAAACCTAACTCACAAGCTGGAACAGTGGTAACCTTTCATGATGTTGTGTACAAGTCTTTCTGGACTCTACAATCAGAATGCGATTCACTGAGACATATTTGATGGGAGTGTACCAAAGAGAGAGTGAAGGCCCTGGCATGTATGAATGAATGAGAATGATGATGCTGGCCGAATGATCTTTACCTCAAATCTTATCCCTCCCCATCCAAATTCCCTCTCCCTATTGTTAATATATCAGAATCTATATTTACCCCTATTTGTAAATAAACCCAACCCTTATTTAAGATTCAGTTGTCCTTCATTAAATCAAAGCACGCCAGGGCACATTCAACACTTGCTCAGAACCTCCAGGATGACAGCCGAAAAGTCCCAAAGTGCCCCAGCTGACTTGAGGATGTAAAGGTGAATTATCTTTGCGATATCTTATCTCAGGGGCACTTCTAGAATATGTGACAGTTTGGAGGTCTTTTAATGTTGCAAATGCTGGATCCAAAAACTGCGCAGTTGAGAAATTACGGGAAATGTCAGGAAATATGTGCAGTGAGGGCTTGTTCACTCAATGTTCGGACCAGATCCAGACCAGAAAATTTTTGTCTGCACCTAAAATGCATCCCAATGTATTCCCATGGCATTTATGGGCTCTGTTCAAACCAGTGCAGCCCATTCCGGTGCGGAAGAAAAAAATACTGTATGCACCGTTCTGGTGCGGAACACACCAAATGCATCTTAATGCATCACAATGCATGCAGATGCACTGGAACACACTGGACCGCACCTGAAAGCCTATTTTAAACTATTAAAAATGTATGTAATGTATTACATCAAATCATTAAAGGAGAACTATGAGGTGAGTGCTTTTCACTCACCTCATAGTTCCAGCTGACCTGTGACAATGTGACTGTCACAGGTCGGCTCAGTAGATCGGGAGGTGAGCGAACACATACCGGCATTCGCTCACTTCTCAATCCTGTCACAGCTCTCTGCCGTGACAGGGGAGGGGCTGGATTCCCCCCTCCTCCAGCGCTGACTGGCGGAACAGACAGGGAGGGGGCGGGTACAGCTGGCTCTGCCTCTAGATAGGCAGAGCCAGCTGTCACTCACACAGCTGGGCGGATAATTGTCGGGATCCGCTTCAGCATCTCAGTATACCGCGAGCTACAGCTAAGGAGAACTGTGGGGAAAAGCCCTAACCCCATAGTTCTCCTTTAATAATTTTTTGGTACTTGCGCTCCTTTTGTTTTTTCCTTGTTTATTCTGTAGGCAGGGGTCCTCTATCTGTTAAAGGAGACCGCACACCTTACACCACCAACAACATTAATTTGCACCCCCAGTAGTGCTCTTACCATTTTTTCTGGTGTGTTTGGTTAATGCATCACAATGCATGCAGATGCACTGGAACACACTGGACCGCACCTGAAAGCCTATTTTAAACTACAAAAAATGTAAATATCGCACCAGAACGTGTCAAAAACGCACTGCACCGTGTTTGCAGAAATGCATCCAGATTTGGTGTGGACATGGTGTGAACAAGCCCTGAGTCGCAAACATGACTATGTCTCATGAATAACATGAATAAGTCACTGTGTGTTAGCCTTGAAGACTCTGGATCTTCTCACCTGGACAGCAACCCATGGCCTACTCACTTGGCTGACCCTCACTGCTATAGTGAAGCAACACTTGTTTTCAAAAGAGAGGGTAGTCAGAACTTTTTTTAAAGTTGTATTGGCATTTGTGTCCTCACTGGGGAGAGTTTCCCTCAATTCCTGTCCTTGTGACACCATAAGAAGCCTGACAGATATTCTGACCCCACCGCACTCTACTAAATACATTTGCTTTACTTACTGTCACTTTCTGTCCTTGTGACATCTTTTCCCCAAAAGTAGGCAGGTAGGGTAAATCTCCTCAATGGAGCCTCAGACAGAACTAAAATCTGACAGAGGTTTTCACCCTTCCCTCTCTGTAATACTAAAAGAAATCCAAAAGGGAATAAACTAAATTTTCTATTTCTGCCTAAGAATAGAACAACTTAATCGATGCATCAACTACAGTATATTAAAAGGAAATATTTAACTGGATTGCTTTGTTTAGTGCTTTAGTCACACTGGTGAAAGCTGAAGATAGTAGTTTGTGCAGAGGAAATGTGTCATTCGCACACAAGAATATAGTGGCACACACATGCAATTTGCACTCAGTTTTACTTTAGCCAGAAGTCGATGCCCATCCTGGTCCAAAATGATGGCGGCTCTTACAGTGTAAAGAGTTGGCTCCTGTGGAAGATATTACAAGAGTCTGTACTTTTATTTTGCTCGCACTTGATTGGGTTGTTAAAGTGAACACAGCTTCACCCTATTACTAACATCCACTTTGCAAAGTAAACTAACTTTCCACAGTGAACACTCACTTTGCTAGGTGAACAGCCTCTATTCCTTTAGTAAATCAACCCAGTTTGCAAGATAAGCCAGTTGACATGGCAGTCTGTAAGTGACCTCTGATCCTTGACTAAATAGAAAAAATGCTAAAACTAATTAGTTGCTAGGGTAACATATAAGAAAAAAAGATTATATCACCAGATTATGAAAAACAAAAGGTTTTGTTTTTCACTTACAATTTTTTTCTCTAGTAGTTTTCCAGTCTTTAACACCTAGCTATAGCTCCTGCCTCTCGGAAGTTGGACACTAGGCAAAATTAAAGGCACAGCCTCATGTAGTGGCCATACCTGTACATAGACTGAATGAGTTCAGGAGTAGCAAGCAGGCAAAAAAAAACTTTTGAGTAGTGGCAAAAGTCCAATAAAAGAAAAAAACTACCTAACATTATGGGATTGATCCATGTTACTCAATGAGCTATTGGAGAAAAATTTTTTATAGAGCACAAAAATCACTTGGGAAACACCTTGAAACACCTGGGTTGTCCAAAAGAAGTGCCAAGTAAATGTGATGGAAACAAATATGCTGAAGGCAACAGTGTAATTTATGTATTTATTACTATACAGTATTTACGGAATTCATATCTGCGACTCTCTTCAGAATACCCTCATGCATCTACGTGAAAAATTTCGGTGGTTGTACCAGATTCATGTGCCTGTTGCAAAGAGGTACATGAACTTTGTGCAAACACCAACATTTTATGTTCAGACGCACAATGAGGCCAGAGCGTCCAAACCAGACACTCCGTCCTCAGTGCAGCTTAGTAATGCTGAACCTGATAAAACCAAAGGCTCAGCATTACTAAGCCTTTACAACAAGCTATTACAACTCAGTCATACATACAGGTGTAGTGGCAGGAGACTTTTTGGGCTCTATTCACGAAGCAGCCGAAGGATCTAGCCGTAGCTTCGGCCGATCCTTCGGCTAGCTTCGGCCCCAGGACCCCTTCGGTTCAGTAGAACCGAAGGGCTGCTGTACGGGCTATTCACAGTAGCCCGTACAGCTCCCGAACTTAGCCGAGCGTCGGCCATTGGCCAGCCGACAGCCTGCTTCTGACAGCTGGGCTTGCTCCGGTCACTTGCTGAGAGATCAGCGTCCCTGGTTACCAGCTAACCAGGGATACTGATCTCCAGACAGCAAAGTCTCCCGGGTGTTCCCGCTCCCGGCCGCCCCGGAGAGAAGCACTGCTTTTTCCTCTTATTTTTCTTTATTCTGACACGGTGCTATTGCAAATTGAAATAGCCAATAGGAATCTAGCAATTAAATCCTATGGGCAAATTTTTTTTTTTTTCATGTATCAATGAAAAAAAAACTTTAAAAAAATACAGTTTTTAAAGGAACAGTGATTTTAACATTGCTTAAACCTTAACAATGAAAATGAAAAATTCCTTTAAATATAGTGCCTGGGGGGTCCCCTTAACCTGCCTGTAAAGTGGCTCATCTGTACGATGTAGAGAACCTGCTGCAGCAAAAACTGACATTTATAAAGAAAAAGAAATGACTTTTTTATTTTAAAGCGTGCTGTTCCCCCTCCCAAACAATACCAGACCCTTTAGGAGGGACTAAATTTTTTTTAAAAAGCGTAGGGGTTCTCCCCAAGAGTCATACCAGACCTTTAAGGTCTGGTAGGGGGGCGAAAAATGTGGGGTCCCCGATAAAATTCCATACCAGACCTTTGATCTGAGCATAGGCCTGGCAGGGCCAGAAAGGGTGGGTTTTTTGGGGGCGGGGCACGAGCCCCCCCCCCCCCCCCATACCAGGCCACATGCCCTCGGCACTGGAATGGTGCTATGCCGATGGGGACAAGGTCCTCTTCCCCACAAGTCCTGGGGCGTTGGTTGTGGGGGTTCAGGGGCACCCAGATGCAGCCTTACCACCTTGTGAATGAGTAAAGGGGTACTTGTACCCGTACCCATTCACTAAAGGGTTAAATAAAAATTGTAAATAAAAAGTCCAGACGGTTTGAAAAAATCCTTTATTTGGAAAAAAAAAAATGGATCCACCGACGTAATCCATGGTCAATCACGACGACCACGACAACTCGACGAAATAAAAGATAAAACAATAAAAAATAAATAGAAATAATATTTTTTTTAAAAAGCCGTCCCATCCCAACATCCGCCGCATAATGGCATTTTGACAGATGCCGGCAAAACATAAACAATTGGACGGAGCTAGCGGTGACAGCTACTGTAGCTCTGCCCAACTGTGTGGTTTGACAGATGAGCCATGATTGGGCAAAGTCATGGCTCTTACAGAGTACTGACCTGTGGTCAGGTGCAAGCCTTTAGCCAATTAGGGCTTCACAACAGACCGCCGAACACCCTAAAGCTGGCCATACACCTTACAACCATTGCACGACTTTCGTTGTGCGATGGTTGTAAGGTGATTAAAATGTTGTATCTTGGACAGGCAGATCGTACTTGCGATCATCGCAAGCCCTCCCCCCTGAGTGCAGTGCTGAGCGGGCAGTGTGCGCTTGCGCACACCGGCCCGTGCGGCATTCATCTCCCGACCACGCCACCAACTCGCCGAAAAAGTGAAGACGAATGTCGTGCGACCTTACAGTAGAAGAGGTTGCACGCTGCCCATACACCTGCCGATTATGGTACGATGATCGCAGGTGTAGGGGCACCTTAATAGTTTGTGTGTTCAGCGAACACACTAACTTGCGTTGTTCGAGTCGAACTCACGTAAAAAAAAAAGTGTGGGGTTCCCCCTCAAAGCCATACCAGACCCTTAAGGTCTGGTAGGAATATGGAGGAAGGACCCAATGTCAAAAAAAAGTATGCATACTAGGCTCTTAAGGTCTGGTAGGAATTTCAAGGAGGAACCCCACCCCTAAAACATCGAGCCCAACACTACATTTCACTACAGGAGGTGCAGAACAAAAGTCACATTTGTGCTTATAATTGCAAGTTGTGTTCCATTTACACAAATTGTCATTAAAGGCAAAACAGATGGCTTTTTTGTAATTTGGTAAATGAGAATGGCTTTTGGGGCAAGAGAAGATTTAGACATAAACTGATGTCTTTTACACCCTAATGTAATGTGGCATGTATCAAAAGTTTCTATCTGAAGGCTTCACCATATCAAAACCAAGCTAAACCTGAAATTTTTTTCTAAATTTCAAGGATGATATCTATGTGTTGAAATAATCCTAAACTCTTGTTGGAGAATTTGAAAACACTTGAATATATACTAAAATCCCTGCAACTAGACTTGGCAATGTGTTTACGTTCATTCTCTTCCAGCCCTTTGGAACCTTTTTTTATCTCCTTTAAATAATTCCTTGGATGAAGGCAACAGCGACATATCTATAAATTTGCCATTCCAAATTTTTTCTTTAACATTACTAGTAATGTGAAAACTGAAAGGAGAAAACGCACTCTCCTTACAATTTTTGGAACATTGCTCAAATTTACAGATAAACATCCAATGAAGCAATACCCGAACCACTGGGGCCAGCAACTTCTAAAGCATACCAAACTACTACCAAACCTCAGCGGAAGCAGTGTTTGGCAACGCAGCAGAAGACAATCGATCTACCAGTTCGGATTAAAAAGTTGTTAATGACAATTTAGCCCCTACCACCCGTTTGTGGAATGGCTACTAGAAATGTAGTGTTGCCAGAGCTGTAGCCTGGCTGAATTATAGATGCAATTTATCTGGTTAATTCCAGGTGTTCTGTCATTGATTGTACCTGCTTGAGTGAGGTGTGACCCTACTGCAGTGTGGGACAGCTGATGGGGGGACATTATGAGTGTGTGTGGCTCCCCAGCCAGTCACTGGGGGTTTCAAGGCCAGTGGTGCATGCTGGGGACATGCATATATACTCAGGGGAATTGCCATGTGCTCAGTCTAGTTCCAGCCTGCCCCCGGGCTTAGCCTGGGGTTGGGAATGCCCAAATGCAGGGAATTTTGCCTAGGCCACAAGCCTGGAGGAGGCCTAATACTGATTGAGGAAGAGAACCAGAGATGCTGGATGGCTACTGGAGGTGCCTGGTACTGGAACGGACATCAGGAGCAAGTCTGGTGTCTCACCAACTGAAGATCTCATGCCTATTCTAATTCAGCTGCTGCTCTAATACCCAGTGTCAGCCTGTGCTCCTATTGATTCTGCACTGTAGGATACTGAAATGGACTGGCGAGTCTGTTCTGTTCTTTTTTGCCATGGAGGTCCTAAGCCCTATACCTTCTCTCCCAGTATACAGTTCTACAATAAAGCATTTAAAAACGTACCTAAAGTGACCGGCGCCCAACCTTTCTTTGAGCGCACATCCCTTCACTGGCCTAGGATCTGCCCCTGGGAACGAAATGTCAGCTCTCTCTGCCCTTTGGGGGTCCATGCTCTGCCTCTGGAGGTCAGGGGGGCACGACAACAATAATGATTTGTCAGACAACTCACCATCCAGAGGAACAGGAGAAACAGATGGTAGATGTCCAATTGGAGGAACCTGCAGAATTTGTAGCAGATAAACTGCTGGGACAATCAGCAAGAGACGTTTGTCCAGAGGGGTCACTCAGACCGAAGTGTGCAGTGTAGATAGTGGTATTAATGGTTTTCCCTGTGAAGTGTAGAAGGAGGGGGAGGACCTTTTAACTGACTAGCCACTGCGCTCTCTGTGCAAAGACGCTTCCTGGTTCCCATGATGCCTTGAGAGACTGCTGACAGGGCTACTCCACTTGATGTCAGCAACGGGAGGGGGAACAGGTGTCACAGACACAGCCGGTGAGCTGTTCAGATGTCTCGGCTGTAAGTCATCCATTTGTGTGCTCAGGAAATCAGATGAAGGCGGCATAGGCACAGGCAGTAGGGGATGTGAAGGGGGAGCAGCTCCAAACGGGGAGGATGTTGCATAGCAGAGATCCACAGAGCAGTGGGAAGCTCTGTAACAGGATCCTGTGCACCCAGGCTTCCATCCTCCTCCTCCTCCCCAGCACACTCTAAAAGCTGACACAGTAGAGATTCATGACAGTAGCTCAGTGAAGAGGAGATCAGAAGAGATGTTGTCTTCATCCAACTGACAGCTTAAAGTGACATTAAAGTCACAAATTTTTTCATACCCCAATGCTGCTTTAAGTACTTTAAAGACCTTAAATGATGCCTCTTGAGCGGATCATCTTCTTACCTCCACTTGTACTGAGAAATCCCTGCAGCGCTGGTGCTGGTCTCTGAACCAGAGCAGACTCCTCGGGTCCCACAGGTTTGACGTGCATGCTCACGGCTGCGTGCATTCACCTCCGTTGTGTTTCTTCTAGCTGAAGATCTCTACTGTGCATGCGCCCGCCCCATCATCCTGTTCGGCTGCTCGAGAAGCTCCAGATCTTGAGATGGGAGCGAACGGAGGTGACAAAGGTAAGTAATTACCTTTTCGGTAACTTTTTTATTTGCTTCTGTTGTAAAGCCGACAGTCGGCTCTACAACTTTAAACAGACTGCCGGCGGCAAAAGTCGCCGGGAGTCTGTTTAAACAGCCCCGATGCTGGTGACGTACACTGTACGTCGTCAGTCACGAAGGGGTTAATTATACTTTAACGGCTCTCATATCGGATTTATATATAGAGCTGTCGCAATCCCATGAAAGGAGCTTCACAATTGTTACACTCCTGGCTCAATCAGCAGTAGAGCGGACCTGACCTGACAGGGTGAGCGCGAGCAAAAAAAAAAATCACGTGCATTTAAGTCCACCCGCTCAGAAGAGTCAGCTCGTGTAGGAGTCCTAGGAGCCCGAAAGGCCCACCTGAGACAGTGGACAGCCAACCTAAGACCACGTAGAACCCTCTTAAGATCCTGCACAGCCTACCTGACACTCTGCACGGCCCACCTGAGACTCTGCACATCCCACCTGAGTCCCTGCACAGCCCGCCTGAGAGCCCTGCACAGCCCGCCTGAGAGCCCTGCACAGCCCGCCTGAGAGCCCTGCACAGCCCGCCTGAGAGCCCTGCACAGCCCACCTGCGACTCTGCACAGCCCACCTTTGAGCTCGCACAGCCCATCTGAGACCCTGCAAAGCCCTCTTTAGACCCTGCACAGCCGGCCTGAGAACCCCGACAGCCCACCTGAGAGCCCTGTACAGCCCACCTGAGACCCTGCACAGCCCTTTTAAGAGGCCACACAGCCCGCCTAAGACCCTATACAGTTTCTCTAAAGCCCTGCACAGCCATCCTGAGAGCCCGCACTGCCCACCTGAGACGCTGCACAGCCCACCTAAGACCCCACACAGCCTCCTGAAACCCTGCACAGCCCACCTTAGATCCCGCACAGCCCTCCTAAGACCCAGCACAACCCACCTGAGACTCTGGAGACATCAGGCTGCTACCCCGAGCAATACAGAGTATTATTCTGCATTGCTTTATAATGTATTGCTGGGATTTATAGTCCTCTATAGCTGGTGGTATTCTGCAATGCTGTATAATGTATTGCTGGGAACTGTTGTCCTCTACAGCTGATGGTATTCTGCATTGCTTTATAATGTACAGGTGGAACTCGAATAATTAGAATATCGTGCAAAGTTCATTTATTTCATTAATGCAACTTAAAAGGTGAAACTAATATATGAGATAGACTCATTACATGCAAAGCAAGATAATTCAAGCCGTGATTTGTCACTAGTTATGCACTATTGTATATTCCAAATAAAAGTTGGTATAAAAAACACTGCAGGGTCTGCCACACTCCACCTCTCTCCTCTTTTTGCTGACAGGCTGTATGAATGTAGAGAGAGACTTGTTGCACTCCTTACCGGATACCCTAATGGAGGGTGCTTGTATTGACTGTGGATGGTACTGCTAGTTACATAGATCATTTGAAGAGATGTCACCAGCACACCAAAAAAAATTTCAGGACAACCATGTGTTCATTTAATAAGAAACAAGTGTTTTCTGGTCCACGCAGGGTCCCTTCATCAGGCTTAAAGGAGAACTATGGGGTCAGTGTTTTTCCCCATTTGGTGTGGTGGTGTTCCATTATAGTTTGTGACTACGTTGGAATGTGTGACCGGTGACGTGGTTACACATTTTAACAGCGGTGGATTTTGTGACCGCCTATTAGGTCAAGCATTCCAACGCTTTGTCAGCTGTTCCAGAGCAGATTGCCTCAATGTGCATGTGCAGGAGAATCGATCTGCATTACCCCATCTCCCTGGAGCAGCTGATCGGTCTCAAATGTCACTTCTATGCGACTTTGTGAGTGCGGTGGAATGTGAGATCGCACTCACAGGGTCGGATAGAAGTGACATTTGAGGACCGATCAGCTGTTCCAGGGAGATGGGGTAATGCAGATCGATTCTCCTGCACATGGGCAGTGAGCTGATCTGCCCTGAAACAGCTGACAAAGCGTTGGAATGCTTGACCTAATAGGCGGTCACAATTGCACCGCTGTAAAACAGGGCGGGATTACATTAAAATGTGTGACCACGCCACCTGTCACACATTCCAATATAGTGACAAACTTTGATAGAACAGCTGCAGTGGTGTGTGGATGGGTGATTGGGAGCGTACATTAAATACTGACACGCCCTTATCTTTGCCCATATCCACCATCCACTCCTTCCATACACTTTCTATTTGTGCTCATCTCCACCCTCAGCTCAGCCTATACACGTCCTCTATTCCGCAATGCATTATGGGACATGTAGTCTCTTACACACGGAAATGACTTGCACTCCTTTCATAAATCCACCTCTTGGCTGCAGGAAAGATCAATCCATACTAGGAGGATGGTGACGTCACTAGCAGCTAAAAATAAGGATTACAAGAAAAATAAGCACTTTTATGATACGTTGTTACAGCAGTTTGCTTCCTCTGACTGGGGGGACCTAGATATATGAAATGATGAGCCTCATGGAGTTCTAGGCTGGTGCTATTTGTCACCGAGCTGTCAGTGGCAGTTGTGTGGTGTGGTCTATTTCCGACCGGTGATTGGTTGCCTCTGGTGTTGTCTTTTTCCGATTGGCTGTGCCTGATGTCGTTCAGTTCCCGGATGGTGTGTGAGATGTTATTCTGGGAGGTGATTAGTAGGTGTCGTGCGGCTGTGTTGCCGGATGATGCGGAAGTGTTAGTCGTGGTAGCGGGCGGATGGGTTGTGATACACGAGGAGTAACATTTCGGTGAGCGGACTCCTTTTCTTGATAGGCGTGCTGGGCTCTGGTGCTTCTCCTCTGACAGCCCGTACTCGTGTTGGGGAAGGTCGTATGGTCCGCAAAGTGGGGGTTTAGGGCGCCCTAGGATGACGGATTTAGCGGAATATAGCAGTAGGTTGTTCTATTGTTTTATTGTCTTGTTCTCTGTGAGTACATTATGGGGTGTTTCTGGTCATTATGATGGTAAAGATGTCAGGGGTGTGGTGAAAGGAAACACTCTAACATTACCTAGCAGAGGAAGGAGCTGATCAACACAAAGGATCGCAGGCAGTGGGTGTTGGTGTACTGGATTAGATGATTATAAATATATGGGGTGAGTAGGGGAAGGAACCTGCATGGCTGGGCTCCTCACCAAATCATGTGCATGCCATCAAACTGAATAATTAAAGCGGAACTCCGGGAACAAATGTTGCTAACCCTTGCAGTGAGGCTACCCCTGCACCTCGAGGGTTAACTGCTTGTTTTTTGCCTACGGTCAAATGTGGGGGTGATCTGATATAACCCGGTTTGATTGATGACATGTGGGGGTGATCTGACACATGGCAGGAGAAGGGGATTTCCGCTGTGATCTGAAGTAGGTAAAAGTTTGCAGCTTTGTTTTGGTTACCAGATCTTGATACAGAGTGGGGTCAGATCAGAGACGCACATATTTACATCAGAGGCTCTGAGCACAATGGGGATTCACTTTGAACATTGATTATCTAATTCTATAGTCACCCCATTTTCAGAGGTGTACATGCCTGGACTTGTACACAGACTTGTTGAAACAGGATCAAGGGAGGAGGGTGGTTGTTTTGGAGAAGAAGGCTAGGGGGCTGTCTTTCTATTTGTCTGACATGTGAGCAGTCTGCAATGCAGACAGGAATGGGGTCACCTTATGTTACTCCAACCATAGTTAAATCTTTAGAAAGCAGGAATTGTCTTTTAATTCTCTGCATGGAGCATGTACAAACAAAATGGAATCTGTAAAAATTACTAATATGTTTTGTACGGATTATTCAGATTTTTTTTTTTTGTTTCAAAGTTTTTATTAAGTTTTCAGCGGCATGTAGGATGCAAGACACAATGATCAACAGCGAGATGCATACATACATATCATAGAAACATGGAACCGGCGATTTTTGACCAATGGCGTAAACTTGTGGGTGAATGGTCACCAGGTTTTGCAGGATAACGTCTTGTCGGGGTGGGATTATTCGGATTTTTTTTTCCACTCTAGAGCTTCATAGTGACATGTGATCATCAGTCAAGTCTCTGCTGTGTGACAAATTAGACCTACTTGATGTGGTCTATTCCATGTGATTATGTAACTGTATGTGGTAACATTTGTTTACTTTGAATGCTATGGTACACCATGATGTTCAGCATATGCTTACCTAATCTATAACTTAAATGTAACTCCCTATACTGGCAAAATTAGAATGTAGCCACCTTGTACAGCCTAGTCAGTCTGTACTCCCTTGCTGTTAGTCCCCATTCATACCTAGGCGTCAGCGTTTCCGCGCGTTTTTTATGTATGTTTTCCTTTGCGCTTTTTTACGCGATTGCCACACGGTTTTGCGCGTTTTCCCTAAAATAGATGCGCGTTTTGGAAGTGTATCTGCATATGGGTATATTGAGTGTTGTCCAATGAAAAGAAGTCCTGTCCATGACATGATAAACTCCTACACATTAGCCAAGGGCTTAACAATTACAGCCTTTCAGCAGCTGTGGAACTACAAGTCCTGTGATCCATAAAGGTCTGTACACCCGAAAAGAAATAGGAATGACACCAAGAGGTAGCTGCATACTGGGATTTGTAGTTCCACAACACATGGAGATCTGCAGCTGCACAGACCTACAATAGCCACACAAGCAAGCAGAAACATAAGCTACAACAGTAAAACAACAAACTTTAGATCCAAAGGAAATCTCACCGCTCCAATTCCTTTACCACCATCAGGACTCCCCAGGTGCGTCTGCAGTACACGCAGCAGTATACGAACAGACGGCACTATCCAGAGAATTCCAATAATGCAGACTTTATTGAAATTCACAGCAAATCCAGTATATCAGTATCAGTGAATAAAAATGTATAAAGAAACTGCACACCCCCAACCAACTACAACCTCTCACATGTTTCACCCACAGGTAAAACGTATCACATTTTTTACCTTTGCTGTACTTCAGGGATGGAGGGAAAGATTTCTATTCTGGCGAAATCTGGCAAGCAATTTGCATCCAAGCCTGCCTCCTCCTTCCTCTGTTTTTATAAATGGGGTTGCGCAGGTCATACAGGCATGGTTGTGCCTTATTAGCCTTATAAATGCCTCAAATTCAAAATTTTGCAGACATGAATCAGCCATTTTGTTTACCAGTGTGCTTTGCAGGTGGTCTTCCATAATGCATATGCGCCTTAAAAACGTGCAATCTTTCTGCGCAAAAACGCACATAAACGTGCGAAAAGAACAAACACGTGTTTTTGGGGGCCTGTTCCATTGAAATATATGGAACACAAACGTGCTGAATCTGCCTGAAAGAAGCTCATGCACTTTTTACAGCTTGCTGCTAAACTTTCAGGTATGAACAGGAGCCATAGAAATGGGAATAGGAATTTTTGTGTTGTGAGTTTTGACGCTTAAGTTTTCAGCATCAAAACGCCCAGGTGTGAACAGAGACTTACCTGGTGGCGGCTCATGCTGAACCTTTGGCTGTAGAAGACAAACCCAATGCAAAATTGTCCAGTTCATGTTTAATTTTTTATTGTTCTTTAGCACTTCAGTCAGCATTACATCATTCACATTAGCCCCTGACCTAGTGTACCTTAAAGTGGACCTTCACCCCCTTTAACTAAAGCCCATCAGCATACAGCTCTGCATACTAATACGAAATTCATTAGCTAAACAAACATATTTTTATTTTACTTACAATTTATTTTTTTCTACTTTGACACAAATGATGTAATCTGTACCCAAGCATTGCATCCTGGGAGGGTTAAATCAGCAGAGCAGTGCTGGGAAATCTCATCTGTAATCTCACGAGATCTGAGGGAAAGACTTTCTGATATGATGTGCATGGTCACATGTAGCAGAGTTCCAAGAAGTAAAGGAGACCTAGTAATCTGCCCTTAGTTAAAATGGCCACTATGAGAAGAATGGGGAAGAAAAGAAAATTAGGGTATGCAAAGAAATGTCTGCAATTATCTAGAAATATCAGTTTGTAGATTGTCATTTCTAAAGGTGCTTTTGTTGTTATTTTGAAAATATGGGTAAAGTTGCTCTATAAAGTCAAACCAGTGTATAATTCTAAAATATTTATTTCAAGCATAGTTTTATTATGTGTTTTTAATGGCATTTGATGAGCTTGTATTAATTCTTCTGTTAACTTTTTTTAACATTCTGTAGAAGGTCCCACTACCATCCATTGATTGAATGGGTTGGGTGCATCAGTAGTCGACGGATGGCCACCGTCCAGGCAAAGTATAAAGAGTTATGGACACTTCTTTTTAGTCCATTGTTCCCCACAAACATGTTTAAGTATAAAGAGTTATGGACACCGGCACTCCAAAGTAGAAAAACGTCTTTTATTGACGCATCATGCAACAATACACTTATTCATCAGGCATACAGGTGCCCGATCCACGATTGCACAATATAGTCTCTCAGGCTTATAGGCAGCAGGGGAGGGGACACTCGTATAACCTGTTTGTGTTAGCTAACAGCACAGATACAGATGACCCATGTCTCACACATATAGGGAGGGGGAGTCATATGATGTGATGTTCACTTTGGCAACAGAACGTAGTATTTATTCCTCTTCATCTGTATTTGGTGTGTAAAATAATGTATTTAATTGTTATAGAGATAGTATCAACTTCAGCGTGAAATTAAAGCTAATTTGCCTACAAACATCATGTGGTCATAATAATCTGGCCACTCAGTGTATACATACCGTGTTTCCCCGAAAATAAGACACTGTCTTATTTTTTTTGGCTCCAAAAACGCACTAGGTCTTATTTTCGGGGCAGGTCTTTTTTTTTTTTATTAAATGTACAACAATCCACACTTATTCATGTAGAAAAATATGGTGATCAGGGCAATCGGGTGCCGTACCTTTCCAAGAGCAATTTGGTAACCAATCGCTAGGAAAAGTGCGCTTCGCTCATTCTGACCATCGATTCCTCACAGGCGGAGTACATTTGGTATCACTCCGCCTGTGACAGGAGCAGGTGCTATAGAGTAGGCATCGGCTTATGCGGCTCTGCTCCCTCCGCTGCCCCCTCGCTTCCTCTAGCACTGGCTTAGTTGGCACCGCTGATTCTCCTGCCTCTCCCACAGCTCTTCAAGTTCCCCCTTATGCCACCACCCGCCCTGGGAATGGTCACAACTAGGTCTTATTTTCGGGGGTAGGTCTTATATTTTAGCAATTCCCCAAAATAGTACTAGGTCTTATTTTCGGGGGAAACAGAGTATATGTATGTGGCTGTGCAGTGCTTTATGCTACACTGGAGCACGGCCTCATGCAGCTGACACAAAACAATGACATGATGACCTCCTTGAAGCACTGTAAACTTGACATCGACCTTGAGATTTGTAGGAGGGTTTTCTGCCTGGCAGACAATGCAATGAGTTGATGTAAGGGTCTGGCTTTTAATATATCGCATTGGGATGATGCATCATTTTTCATAATTTTGGTGCTAGGTTATGTTTTTCTCAGAGGTGTTTATGTGTTTTGGGTTTTCACCTTTCAGGAAACCGATCCGATAGACATTTTATGGCTTCAGGATATTGACCTTGGAGCTGGGCGAGAAGATTTTGAGAGTCGCCAGCATCTCAAAGACCATGAGGAAGTTTGGGAATCCTTGGGTGATAACTCAGAAAGTGAAGAAGTGGAACACAGGCTGCAAGTGGATGGGGAGACTGGAGAGAATGTACCTCAAGAGGTGAGTCACACTTTGCTACTACTAAGAAGACCCATACTCTTTATACCTTTTTGGAGTACTGATTGTTGTTGTCTTTTTAGGGTCAGACTGCTATGTCATTGGCAGAATGCCTGAGTCTCCTGGATGACACTTTTCAGTTTGATTCTCCAGAGGTAACTGGTGCTGTTTGACATTTTTACTGCTGTTTTATGTGGCCTGTTTAGGGCCTCATACATATGGGTTTTAATTCATAGAAGAACAGTGTGTACAGCAAGCTTTTACAAAACATTTGTAAAGCTTTCAGCAAGCCTCAAGTTTATTCATTAAAGGAGACCTATTGGACAATGATTTTTTTTCCCCCCGTAGTTCTCCAGTCATATATATTATGTCCTCTTGTGACCCAAAACTCCCCATATAGCGGGCTGTTGCCCGCTATCTGCTGAGAGCTCTGCGTCTGGGACGGGTCCCGACAATACTGAGGAGATGCACCCAGCTGGCAAATTGGCTGGCACCCAGCTGGCTGTGCCCGCCCCCTCCCCATCCGTCCCTCCAGTCAGTGCTGGAGGATCAGAGGGAGGGAATGCCTGCGGGAAGCAGTGACTGACGGTCACTGCAGGGAGACGTTCGGGAAGTGAATGAGCGGCGGTATGTTTTCACTCCCTTCCCAATCAATAAAGCTGACGTGACAGTTTCAATGTCACACGTCAGCTCTAACTATGAAGATGAGTGTAATTCACTCACCTCATAGTTCTCCTTTTTAAAGCTTCTAGAGCACCATCTAGCTCCAAAGTGAGAAGTAAAAAAAATCTATTAATGGCAATACCCACTGTCACTTACAGCCCATTTCTGGCCAAATAAAAGAGGATTCCCCCAGCAGGTTTTTCAAACAAAAATAGCATCTCTGGCTGTGATACTGGATTCCTCTATACTTGGCTATCCCACACAGTAATTATTTGTCATCAATAGATATCTTTTTGTCTTACTGGTCAAATGTCACCCACCAACATTGAACCTGGAAGTCTGAAGACATTCTGTGTATACAGGGTGTCATGGACCCAACTCCTGAAGAGGCATCACTTTAATTCTGTAACCTCTTACACAGTGATGCAGAGAGTGATATTCACCTCATCATGTCAACATGTCTGTCTGCATCATTGAGCACCACTAGTGAAGAGAACTCTGTGAATGACATAACCAGCCTGAAGACATCTGAAAAAGGTAAGTATAATTAAGTCACTTACTACGCTCATTTAAGTCTATGAATAACTTTCCAAAACTGGAGCTAGAGGGTGTTTTTAAAGCTCTTAGGAAAGCTACTTGAAGCTTGCTAAAAGCGTTTCAAATGCTTTGTGAAAGCTTGCTGTGCACCCTGCTCTTATATAAGCAGAAGCCCATGTGTACAAGACCTAGTTACAGTCTAGTCTGACTTCTACTTTTTGTAGTTTCCAGCTCCTGACCCAACAAATATATTGGATACAGAGCCAGACCAGACAGATTTACAACAAACAGATGGCTTGCTGTCCCCATTTCTCCCAGATATTGAGACCCCTCTGGACTTGGAGGAGCAATGGCAGGACCTAATGTCACTCATGGATATGCAGGTACTAACTTTTTAATTGTGAACTAAATACTCTGCAGTTTCACTAGTGATCTAAAACTGTAGTTATAGCTGAACTTCAGGCAAATGGCTGCACAGAAACAAATGCTATATCTAAACTGTCTTACTGGCTAAAAGCATTGGAACTTTGTTCAGTCAGGCATGAAATTCAGGCACCCATGCCAAAAACCATAGCGTGACCCGTGGCCTCACTTTTCTGCACTGCAGTGAAACAAAACAGGTTGGCCACACCAAGACTCTGATTAGCCGACAAATCTGCATCACAACAGTCATTAGGACATCACTTTCTTCCTGTTGCTTGGATCTCCCTATTAGATTGACAGCTCTATGCAAAGTACATGGTAGACTGTACGATGGTAGATTAGACCAGTGGTTCTCAACCTGTGTAACCTCAGGACCCACATTTGTCCTTTGTCATTAAGACGCGACCCAAGTTGCACTTCACACACACAGACATTCCCACACACGCATACACACTCCAAAAAATATTATATATATTTTTTTAAGATCCACCCAGTCTCCTTACCTTATGAGAACTGGAGTGGATCCTTAGCCTGGGGTCCAGTGTGCTGTGATGGAGCTCCATCCATATGTGCATTGTTTGTACAGCTCCTTTACGCGCCCTGTAGAGGTGCCAGGAGCCAGAATGTGATTCCAGTCCAGGCACCTCTACAGGGTACATGTGGGAGCTGTAGACAATGCACATATAGATGGAGCTCCCTTATGGCCATAATTCCAACCCACCTCTCCCCAAGCTGACATGCAGGGCTAGACAGCATATTTTGAATGGCTCAGCGCAAGAACTGATGGTGCTGCACTAAGGGGAGGCTGAGGAGTGTCATCTAGAAAAGTGGAAGGCATGTGGTGACCCACTGAACATGGGGTCGCGACCCACTTTTGGGTCACGACCCACCAGTTGAGAACCAAGGGACTAGATGGTATTGCTGAGAGTGCAGAGGATTTCTCTCCCGTTCATTGAAGGACACAGGGCAACAGATCGTAGATCCTGAAAGGTAGGGTATATCGCCACCTGCAGGAGAAGGACGCTAGGCACATAACAAAAGACAAAGACAGCCTACTGGCGGCCCCTGCTGGTGGCCCAACCCCCCACCTGCTGACAAGTCTCCGTTTTTTTTGCCTAGCGTCAGGAGTAAGGAGCTAAAAAATTTCTCTAGAAATGTTTTCATTTTCCTCCTTTTGTTTGCTGTTTTCTTCAAGCAAGTGTCGCCAGGGAGACATGCTGGATGAATGTAGATCCTTGGAGTCTCTCCTGCGCGACTGACAAGCGCATGCAGTCCCACCACGGTGTGTCGGCTGCGACGATGGTTCTTTTCGACGCCTGTGGGTCTCTTGGCCCGGTGGGGTGCACATGACTGGAGGTCTCGAACCTGCTAGTCACAGTACCCCACGCAGGCTGGCGGCGCAGCGACTATGGTCGGGGGCGTTTTTCCCCCATCCCCGCACGCCTGGGTGCCATGTGCGTTCCCAGGAGTCGTCGCCCCTCTGGATGGCGGTGGTTCGCAGTCCGGCTGTTTCCCCCCTGGATGCGGTATGTATGTGGGGGTCTGTCTGTGGCTGTGCGGAGGGTCTCCTGGAAGCTACCTGTCTGGAGGTTGTAAGTACGCTCTGTTGGGCTGACTGGATGTAGGTAGCTGTGCGCTCTGGCGAGGTGTTATGCTGGGGACCGAGGTTCCCTCACATGCCTCGGCCCCCCTCCCTTTTCCTACATGCTGAACAGCCTGTCGAGGCTGTTGTCCCTGGTCTCGCAGAGTTGGCAGACCTGGCCTTGGGGACACGGATGGTCCTAGAGGTGTGCCTGGGAGCGGCCGCTGCTGGGGTTGCTGTTGCCCGTTCGGGGTGACCAAAAATTGAGGCCCCGGCTTCTATTGCAGCCTGGCTAGCTGCCATGGACGCATGTACATTCCGTTTTTCGGGGCGGCCAAAAATCGAGGCCCCGGCTTCTACTCCGGCCTAGTCCGGATGCCGCGGCCGCCATCTTGGTTGAGGGCGGCTTGCCCTTCCCGCATGACGTCACTTCCGTTCCGCGGGTGGATGAGCTGGATGCAGATCTGACTGCTGGAGAGCTCATGCTGGGGGACAATACATCTCCCTTTGCTGGGACAGTGAGCAACCGGTGCCAGGGGTCGTAAGCACTGGGGTCCCTTCCTCCCTACTGTGCTGTCAGTGTGTTGGGGCATTTATTGTCTGTGGGCGGTGTCCATGGGCGCGGGAACAATCCCTCTGCGGTCCCTTACTCGGTTCCGCTGGTGGCGCGACACGTCCGGTGCCTTGGCTGCACCACGACCACGTCCATTGTTTTTCCGGGGTGTAAGTTCCGTTCCTGGTGCCAGCCAACTGCGGGCTGGCTATTAATGGGGCTCCCGGCTGCGCACGCTCTGCCGTCTCTCTCCCCTGTTCCTTCGGGGGAGGAGGGTTCCATCCCTGCGTCTTCAGCGCATCCTGCCCCGGGGGTTGCTACCCCTCTAGATCCTGGTGGTGAGGGTGGGTCGGGCGCCTCCCTTTTCATCGGGAGCGTGCCTCGGTCTCTGCCCTCATTCGTTCCGTCAGGGTGATGCCTACCATTGTGGAGGCCCCGAGTTTTCTACGCTTGCTCCGGTTCAGTTTGGGACGTATGATGGGTGGATGTTCAGGCCTTCCTGTATTCCTCTTGACCCCTTGTCCTTTGGTCTCCATGGCTTTCCGTTCTTCCGGGGCGGTCTTCCCTTCCCCTTAGGACCCCGCCGATCGGAGGGCGGAGGCGGTTTTGAGGACCATGTACTCCGTTTCGGGTGCCTCTATGCGTCCGGGCCTGGCTTCTGCCTTGGCCTCTCGGACTTGACGGGGCGGGCGCAGGTGTTACATCAGGGATTAGCGGTGACAGACGTTTTCCCGCTTATGTAGAGTTGTAGGAACAGTTGGTGCAGGGCCTTAGGTGTGTCTGCAACTCTGCCCTAGTCACTGCAACTTTTGGGGTCGACACTGTCTTTGTCGGCGGTTCCGCTTCACTGGTTACTTGGTTTACGTGCTGGTCGGCTGCTCTGGCTTCTGAGTATGCAATCTGGGATTTCCCTTCCTGGGGATCGTTTGTTTGGCTCCATCTTAGATAGGGCTGCAACAACTAATTGACATAATCGATGATTGAAAAAGTTGTCAACTTTTTCAATCATCGATTAATCGGCTTCCGATTAGTTGGCCTTGTTCACGGCTCCACACACGCTGCGTGCCGCACAGGGACGCGGGCAGAAGTAAGGAGGAGCAGGTGTGGGGGGGATGACAGCTGCCGATAGACAGGCCCAATCTCAGAAGCAAGTTGCAGGAAGGCTGCTCAGTTAAGCCTGCACTTTCCCACACATGGTGCTCTATAAATGTATTGCTGGGATAGTGGGATTTGTATTCCTCTATAGCTGATGGTACATTGTGCTGTATATTATACACAATGTACCATTGAATCGATTTTTGAAAATAATCGTTAGCTGCAGCTCTAATCTTAGATGAGCTCATTTACGGATTTGGCGGGGGGTATGTGTACCCTTTTTTACCTCGGCCGCGGAAGGAGGAATTTCGTCGGCAACCTGGTCCCACCTCCGCTCACTAATGGCTTGTCGGCCCCCCTGCCCTCCGAGAAGGGCGGTATGCTCTCCAACTCACCTCCTTCCCGGACTGGCGACGTTCCTGGCAGCTTAGGCCTGCCAAGCCACCGTCCGCATGTAGGCCTGGCCCCACCTCTGGACTCCAGGGTGGGGGGGCGTCTTTGACTCTATGTGAATTTTTGGTTGGCTCGTGTCTCGGACACTTGGGTCCGGGAGCTGGTTTCTTTGGGCTAGAAGATCGGATTTCTTTCCCGCACCGGGAACAGGTTTTTCCTGTCCAACACACGGCTTTCCCCTCCGGGCTTGGTGGATCTTCACCACGCTGTGGCGGACCTCTTGTCCCAGGGGGTGCTCGTGCCGGCCTTGGTAAGGTTCAAGGGGTGTTAATCCAAACCTGTTTACCGTGCCCAAGAAAGGTGGGGGGTTCAGCCCATCCTGGACCTCAAACGTTTGAACACTTTTGTGCGGGTCCGTCTGTTTCGAATGGAGTCGATCAGGTCCGTAGGGGCGTGTCTCTCCGTCAGGGGGATCTGCGGGCCTCCATCGTCGTCAAAGATGCCTACCTTTTTATGTGTCCATTTGTGTCTCTCACCAGCGGTATCTTCGTCTCGAGTTGGGGGAAGAGCACTTCCAGTTTGTGGCGCTGCCTTTTCGGCCTGGTGTCGGCCCCGCGGGTGTTCTACAAGGTGTTAGCCCTGGTTCTGGCGCTGTTGCGTTACCGGGGGATCTCGATCGTGGGGTATCTGGACGATCTTCTGTGGGCAGTGTCGTACTCTTCTCTGGGGGTCACTGTGCGGTCCTTGGGGGAGTCCGGATGGATCCTGAACTTCCAGAAGGCTTGTCTGGTTTCTTCCCGCGACTGGAGTACTTAGGCCGTTGTGGCCCGTGTTTTTCTACCCCAGGACTAGCTCCTGAAACTCCGTTCCAGCGTGCGTCTGTTGCGGGCTCGCTGGTGGTTGTCCTTTCACTTTTGCATGCAGGTCCTGGGCCTCATGGTGGCCTCCTTCGAGGCGGTGCCCCTTGCACCACGCCAGGACTCTTCGGTGGGATGGCCTGTTGCAGTGGGACTTGTCCCTGAACAGGGAGATCAATAAAGGTATTGGACCTTCGGGTGATTGCCTATCTCTCCTTCATTGGGCGACCCGCCTTCGGGGTCTGTCTGTTCGGGTCCTGTCGGACTACGCCACCGCGGTGGCGTACATCAACCACCAGGGCGGCTCGAGAGGTATCCAGGATCCTCTCCTGGGCGTAGAGTCAGGTTCTGGCCCTCGGCGGTTTACATTCAGGGGGTGGACAATTGGCAGGTCGGCTGCCTCAGTCGCCTGTCGGTGGACCTGGGAGTATGGTCCCTACACCCGGACATTTTTCATCAGCTTTGTCTTCACTGGGGGTCGCCGGATGTGGACCTTCTCGACGCAACCGGAAGGTAGAGAGATCGTAGCCCGGGCTCTGGATCCCGGGGCGGTGGCAGGGGATGCCCTACTGGCTCCCTAGAAACCTTACGGTCTGATTTTTGCCTTTCCTCCACTGTACCTGTTGCCTCGGCTTCTGCGACGGATCGCGACTGAACACGTTACCGTCATCCTCGTGGCCCCAGTCTGGCCTCGGAGAGCGTGGTACGCGGACTTGGGGACCTGTGTTCCATCCTTTTACAGTGGCTGGCTTTGACGGCGTGGCTGTTGAGAGCCAGGTCCTGAAGGACTGGGGGTTGTCTGATGCGGTCATTTCCACGATGCTCAGAGCGAGCAATGCAGTTCTAGGAAGATTTACCATCGCACGTGGAGGGCCTATTTTGCCTGGTGTGAGGCTGGGGCTCTGTCTCCGCGTTTGTTCTCAATCAGCAGAGTTCTTGCTTTTTTGCAGCGCGGGGTGACTCGGGGGTTGGCCTTGAGCACGGTGGAGGGCTAAATTTCTGCATTGACTGTGCTTTTCCAACGGCCCTTGGCGTCTAATGCCTTAGTTCGCACTTTTGTTCAGGGGGTTACGCGTGTTGCTCCTCCTGTCCGCTCGCCTTTTAGCGCCGTGGGATCTGCAGCTGGTGCTTTCGTTGTTGCTGGAATCTCCTATTGAGCCTCTATGGGAGATTCCGCTTCTGTTCTTGTCACAAAAAGTAGCCTTTTTGGTTGCCATCACTTCCGTTCGACGGGTGTCTGGGTTGGCTGCCTTGTCCTGCAAGTCACCGTTGCTGGTTCTTCATAGGGACAAGGCGGTTCTCCGTCCTAAGCCGGCCTTTCTGCCTAAGGTTGTGTCGGCGTTGTGTCGGCGTTCTGAATGAGGACATTCTCTTGCCTTCTCCGTGCCAGAAACCGGTTCATGGGAAGGAAAGAGCGCTGCACTGTTTGGATGTGGTTCGCACTCTTCGTATTTCTTTGGAAGCTCCGGCTTCTTTCCGTGAGTCAGATTCCTTGTTTGTGCTCACAGAGGGCCCTCGGAAGGGCCGGGCCGCATCGGTGGCTACCATTTCTCGGTGGATTCATAATGTTGTTATTCAGGCGTATGCCGTTAAGGGGTGTGAGCTTCCTTTCCCTGTCACTGCCCATTCTATTAGGGCTGTTGGGGCTTCCTGGGCCTTCCGTCATGGGACCTCTGTTTCTCAGGTTTGTAAGGTTACATGGTCTTCTGTTCACACCTTTTTTTGTTAAGTTTTAGAAGGTGGATGTTTTGGCATCGGCGGATGCAGGCGGCTCTTTGAGGAGACCTTTGGGTGTTTGGTTGTTGTTGCCGCCCAACCTCAGTTTGTACTACTTGGTGACGTCCCTACCATTCAGAATCTACGATCTGTTGCCCTGTGTCCTTCAATGAACGGGAGAGAAAATAGGATTTTTGTACTCCGGGTAAAATCCTTTTCTCTCCGTTCATTGAAGGACACAGGTCCCGCCCTCTTTTATGGGTTGTACCCTCCTAACTGCTTGTTACTTACTGGAGGCCACCAGCAGGGGCCGCCCCTAGGCTGTCTTTGTCTTTTTGTTATATGCCAAACGTCCTTCTCTTGCAGGTGGCGATATACCCTACCATTCAGGATCTACGATCTGTTGCCCTGTGTC